TCATCGTTAGGGGGAGATAAGAACCTCAACGTTCTTGAAGAACTACGTGAATTATAGTGGACAACTCCCACTTTGTCTCATTTAGATACCCGCACCGCTCAATCTAAAACTGAAGTGTACCACATATTAGATCTTCATAACATAGCCCAGAGCATGCCAAATGCTTTCACCAATCTAGCGTGCATGACAAGATCACATATTCCAGATGTGAATACGTCTGCAAAGATGGATGTACCAAATGTACGACGAACTTCCCTCTTGGAGGCCCGAGATGCCAATCTTGGTGATCCATATACATTAGCAGCTAGCCAATCATCTACCCCTACACAAAAGTATGGCAGACCTCTTTGTTCAAAGGATTCACACCCTCGGTAAGATGAAACCCATGACACATGCTTCTAAAAAGCCTATTGTGAATCCGACTGTCGTTTACTTTTATCCAACTCATGAGGAAATTCTAGATTATATAAACGTCTTGAAAAGACGAATCCACCTTCCGAGATTCGTGAGATTTCGATCCATTATGCTAGCTTGAATGATGTTCGGTGTAGAAATGAGATGATCGTTGATGATGCATTAGCATATACAGTAACTACTAAGATCATGTCAAATTAGAAACAAGCAATCTAAGTCAAACTCGATTCGCTTGCGAAACGTAAGGTGTTTAAACCTATAGCTCCTACTCCTCCACATGTGAAGCCTGTTGGCTACAAATGGGTTTTCGTTCGGAAGTGTAATGAGAAGAATGAAATTGTGCGTTACAAAGCTCGTCTTGTTGCGCAAGGCTTCTCACAATGCCCCAAGATTGACTATGACGAAACTTATTCACCCGTTATGGATATGATTACTTTTTGTTACCTTATCAGTTTAGTAGTTTTCGAAAAACTGAGTATGCAGCTGATGGACGTAGTAACTGCGTATCTCTACAAGGATCTTGATACGCAAAGTTCCCGAATAACTTACATTGACTGGATCAAATATTTCTAAACCCTGGAACACGCTCTTAATTCGACTGAGGCGTTCACTCTACAATTTGATGCAATCCGAAAGAATGTGGTATAAATGTCTGAGTGAGTATTTGACTAATCAAGGATATATGAACAACGAACTATGCCCTTGTGTGTTCATTAAGAAGTCATATTCCGATTTTGCGATTGTTGTAGTTTATGTCGACAACATGAATCTCATCGGAACTCCTGAAGAGCTCACGAGAACTGCCGAGCATCTGAAGTTGGAATTTGAGATGAAATATCTAGGAAAGACTCAATACTGTCCTCGGTCTCGAGATAGATCACTGTTTAGATGGAATCTTAGTACATCAATTGAACTACACCCAGAAGGTGTTGCGCCCCTTTAAAGAGGATAAAACAAAGCCTTCGAGTACTCCTATGGTCGTTCGATCGCTAGATGCAAAATGAGATCCCTTCCATCCGAAGGAGGATGATGAAGAGATTTTGGAGCTCGAAGTTCCTTATCTAAGTGCGATAGGCACTTTATTGTACTTAGCTCAATGAACTAGACCCGACATCTCATTCGCTGTTAATCTTTTGGTAATATACAGTAATGCACCAACACACAGACACTGGACTGGTGTTAAAGACATCTTCCACTACCTTAAAGGTACTACAGATTTGGGCATAGTCTATCTCTACAGATCCTCGAGTGATGCCACACCCCCTTATCTCGAGTCGATTCTCGCCTTGTTGGTTATGCAGACCCATGATATTTATCTGATCCGCACAAGGCATGTCCTCAAACGGGTTATGTCTTTACCGTTGGAGGCACAACAATCTCTTGGAGGTCAACTAAACAAACCTTAGTTGCCACTTCGTCTAACTATGCTGAAATTCTCGCCTGACATGAAGCAACTCAGGAATGCTTTTGGTTGAGAGTAGTAGTGGGCTGTATTCGAAGCTTCTGCGATCTTTACCCCGTCGTTTATGTCCTGACGACGATCTATGAAGACAACGCAGCATGCATCGAACAGCTTAAGAAGGGTTACATCAAAGGAGACAACACCAACTACAGTGCGTTGAAGTTCTTCTTCTCACATCAACAACAAGAGTATCGAAAGATTGAAGTCACACAAATCCGTTCACAAGACAATTTGGCCGACCTCTTCACCAAATCACAACCGAATGAGATGTTTCAGAAGCTTGTTCAAGGAATTGGTATGCGTAAACTTTCTGAGTTGTAACATTGTTAGTTCTCTTTGGAATTATGTCAAACTCAGGGGGAGTATCCTAAAGTATACTTGCTTGATCTTAATGTACTCTTTTTCCCTACGATTAGGGCATTTTTCCCACTGGGTTTTTGCTACCTAACGAGGTTTTGACGAGGCACCCACCTTGGGTTGATCATATCCTTGATGACAGCCCGTAGACATTTCATTTGATTTTGTATTTTTCACACATTTTTCCTTAGACTATGGATTTTGTCCCTACTCAGGTTTTTACCATAGCCATAGGTTTTTTGTGAGACTTAGTTCCTTATGCAAGTTCCTACCTTATTTGAGAATAGCGTATTCCCAGAATCAGTGCCGACAAGTCGACTTCCTCAACCTCTCCATAATGTTGAATTTACTTGAGTATTTACACACTCAATGGGGAGTGTTATAAACTTCTTATTTAAATGTAATTGTGTAAATCCTAGATTATATTTTATTTTAGTTATTCTTTTCTATTTGGACTTGTATTCCTTGGAAGAGAAAGATTTCTTCTCTCTTATTATTATAAATAAAGGCACTGTGTAAGGGAATAACATATCCTCTACACAGCTCTACAACACATATATCTCTTTGTATTTTTTATGTGTCGTCGGTCCCCTCTTCCTGTCTGTTAAATATAGACCACAACAGTTACATATTTATTATAATCATTATACTATATATGTGTGTATGTATTAATATTATAACATATCTATTTATTAATGTCAACAAATATTTATCAAAGATTAAGGCTAATGGGTTAGTAAAAATTGTCCAAATGACACGTGAACTTGTTAATTTTGTGTATTTTTATCAATATTTTAACCAAAACATGCGCTTTGGCGACTTTTTAAGCCCTAAAGACTTTCGCACTTGCCCTCCAATTTTTTCGTTCTCATTCCATCACATCTTTAGACGTTATGAGAATGCTCTTGAAAAACGAGTGTTGCTATCGTCACATGCCATTAAATAATGTAAAGTCGAATGAAAGTGCAGTTAGTCGGTAAATTGTAACACAATTTGAATTTTGCGTATAATTTAGATAGTTATTATTACACAACATTAAGAAAAACTAAGCTGTTACATGAATTAGTTTTGTTTGTCGGGGTTGCGGATTTGTTGTCCTCAATCATGTGTTTCCCTTATGTCTTCTCATCTCTAGTTTTTTTACACATGTTCCTCTCCTTAACTTTGAATTTAACACTTTATTTTGCAGTAGTTTAATTTAAAAACTGAAAAATTAAGGGAAAACAAAAGGCGACTGCAAAAACCTGACAGCAATACCGAACCTCCCCACCATTCATTTCGGACGAGGGCTCTTCCTCGTCGGGGCAAAACTACTTTTTCTCTCTTTCTATATTTCTCCCTTCCCCTCTCTTGCTGGCAAAGCTGTTATCGACATTCGTCACCGTCGCGTATCGATCGATTAGATATCCCCAAACTTCAAACTTCACACACTGTTTGTTGTTTGATGAGATTAATGGATCTATCACGATCTAGTGTGAGAATTTGAAGATAAAGAAGGGAAAGGAAATAAAGCTTTCCCAACGGCGAGGAGCATCGTCAGCGGCGATGGGTTGGTGTGGTTGGGTGGTTATCAAGTGTTGTTTTTTATTTTCTTTAATTGTTAGTTTTTTGTTTAGTTTATGAAAATTTAGCAGTGTTAAATTTGGTGTTAAGTTGATGGACAAGTGCAAAAAATTTAAAAAATAAATAAATAAAACATAAAAGAGGCATCAAATTGGAGACACCCCAGCCGTTTGTTGGATAGTCTTCATCATATGTAGATAAATTGAGTTGCGCGATCAATTTATTTTGGGTAAATCTCAGTTTATTATTCTTAAATTTAATGGTTTTTAATATTTAGCACATGAAATTTTTTTTTGTCTCAGAATCATATCTAAAATGTTAATTTTGAGACAATCTCATACATTCATTAGTCTGAGTGTTAAGTTTCCCGTTAATTGATGATGTAGTGCCTATGTGAATTATGATTGGACATCATGTGTCATTAAGGATCCACGTGAAAATTATAAATTCAAAAAAAAAAATTCTCGTCAAAATTTAAAATATTAAAATAATTAATTAAATAAAAATATTAAAATAAGGGGTGCGTATTTCTCCCTGGCCCTAACGACTCTTTAATTCGTTTCAGTTTTGTTTGTCAAATAAAAGTATTAAAATAAGGGGTGCTTATTTCTCCCTGGCCCTAACTACTCTTTAATTCGTTTCAGTTTTCTTTGTCATTGACTTGTTTGGTTGTATTTTTTGATTTGGTGATTGGTCGGTTAAAATAAGGTCCCCACAACCTTATACATGGAGGACTTTGATTGTCTGCCCTCCTTATTCCATGTCCTTCTATTTCTGTGATCACGATTAAGCCACATCAACATTTTATATTTATATTACTTTTATCTTATTATTTCTAAAAAAAAATTAATATAAAATATTAACATAGTTTAACCATGATTACAAAATATAGAAGAGAATGGGAAGAGCATGGAATGGAAACGGCAGATAATCCAAGTGCATGTATGGGGACCTCCCATCTCCTTATATATGGGGACCTCCCATCTCTCTCTCTCTCTCTGTGGCTGCCCACTCACGGTAAAAAAACAAAGCCAAAGTAAAAGGCAAAAACACAAGCGTATGCTTAAAAGCAAAGCACAATTAGCGTGTTCACTGTTCAATCTTCATCACCGTTAAGAAACAAGAGAGAGAGCCACACTGCTTTTTCGCTTTTAAGCTTACGTTTACTGTATTTGGGATCATCAGTGAAGTGGTAGTTTCGAGAGAGAGAGAGAGAGAGATGGAGGGCATTCGAGGATTGTGGCATCTGTTTGTGACCGTGTTTTTTCATGGGTTTGCAAGCTTCGTGGTGGTTCCAGCCATAACTGATATCACCATGCTGGCTCTTTGCCCTGGTCGAGATGAGTGCTCCCTTGCCATTTACCTCTCTGGTTTTCAACAAGCGGTATGTAAATGCATATATATAATTATATATAATATATATGTTAATTAATTTCTCGTTGCCTTATGGTTTCCTTTTTATGTATAATATATGCTAATTCTTCATACATATGCATCATGGATATATATTAATTTCTACTTTCATCTCCCTTAGTTGATCCCTCTTTCAATTGATTAAATCCCTCTTTCAATTTATTAATTCCACCGATGACATCGAAGAGGAGCCATATATAAAAAGTTTTGATTTTGATTTTGATTTTAGCGTTTGTATTTATCAATATACTCGAAAATTTTCTATGCTCTCTCTCATGCCTGGTCATGTATGGTCATGATATTTAGTTTAATCCACCGATGATATCATAAAATTTCTTAGTTAATTTTATGGGTTGGACGTTGCAAATCCATTTTATAAAAATTATTCATTAAAAAATAGGTAGTGCTATTCACACTTTTTTTTAACCTCCAACACTGTTAATTTCTATCATTTTATTATTTTTAATTCATTCGATTGGACAGCCGACAATTAAAAAGTGTGTGTGTGAAAGGTTAAAAAGGTATATGGATAGCACTATCTTAAAAAATAAGTGGAATCAATTTCATTAAGCACAATTTTATATGTTAGATGGTTAAAGTAACTAAGCACATTAATAAGAAGAAGAAAAAAAAGTAACATAAGAGAAAACATCAAACTTTTGGTAGGGTTCAATGGATTTTTTTTTCAACCTTACCTTGTTTAGGAAAAGAGTAATAAGTTACCCTTATTACTTTTACCTGTATTTTTATTATTTCAACAAAATAATTTTGTTGATTTAATGCATAGCTAGATTTTTATCTCAACTGGATAAGTAATTAGATGCGTGCCTCTAATATTAGTCTAAACGTGTGTACGTGAACTGAAGCTTGCAAACTCTAAATACATCTTCCCAACTAAACTTCATACCTACCAAACCGGCTGTCCATGTCCATACGTTTCAGTTATGTAATCGTTAGTACATTTAACCATTTGAGCTCATGAATTACTTTAAATATTACATGCTTTTCTTTTTTTTTTTTTTTTTTTTTTTTGAAAGATACATGCTATTTAATTAGATACAAACAAACGAAGCGTCGTCAGCACTTTGCTGGCAACCAAACAAATCTCCGTCGCGGTCCTAATAATGCTGCAATTTCTAATTTTTGTGTGTACTACTTAGAGCCTATGTGTTCATATATGAGATGTGTTATCCACACACCTTTTTTTACTTCACATATATCTCTTGTTAATTTCTGTCTCTTGATCTTCTTCAATTCATCTGATCCAATGACCGAAAATTAAAAGGATGTATGAGAAGTAAAAAAAGGTGTGAATATCATACCCCTTTATATATATATATGTGTGTGTGTGTGTGTGTGTATGGTAAGTAAAAAAAGGTGTGAATATCATACCCCTTTATATATATATATGTGTGTGTGTGTGTGTGTGTGTGTGTGTGTGTATGGTCAATTAAGGTAATCCCCCATCTTGAAATGAGGAGTAAAGCAATGATAACACTTATAGATCACAGTATTGCGTGGGAGTTATGTCCTCTTAAGTCGTTTAGCAGTACATCGGTTTATATGATTTTGATTCTTATATAAACAAATCAAGCTGTATGAGTTTGATTTCGATAACAATGTTTTTGTTGCGTGCGTTTCTAATAGTTGTGTGAGACTTATTAAATTAAACGATTGAACTCCCCCTTATTAGACTCAAACTCAAGATTTCTAACCCAGTATTTTGGCAAACAAAGTTAATGTTAATCGGACTATCAATTACAAGATTCAACGCAACGTTTAGACAAAAGTGAACTTAATTAATAGTTCAAATACACTGTATCGCAACACAAAAGATTAATTAGACATAGTCGAATTAAGGACTGTGTGAAGATATTTGGTGTAAACTAATGGGCATACGCGTGTGTGCGTGTTGGATGCAGATCATAGGAGTGGGAACGGTGGTGATGACTCCAGTAATTGGGAATCTGTCGGATGTGTACGGGAGGAAGTCGCTTCTCACGATCCCAATGACATTATCCATTATTCCACTAGGTTTGTATTCCACTCATCAGTAATTTTTATGTGTATAGTTTCTTTGATTTTCTTCCTTTCTCTTTTGCTTGATGATAACTATGTTTCGTTAGTGCTGGCCTTTAAGGAAAATTAACGAAAATAACTTGAAAACTTTGAGTTTTAATCAAAATGACAAAAATGTGTTGTAAATGAATAGTACCATAAGTGAATTTTTAGAAGTAAAAATATGGTTTTTCATTAAAGTGAACAGTACCAGGAAATGTGTTGTAAATGAATAGTACCATGAGTGATTTTTTAAAAGTAAAAATATGATTTTTCGTTAAAGTAAACAGTACCATGAATGTTTCGTTAAAACTCTCCATACTTTAACTGTGGTACCAATGTTATTTGAGCTAAGAATCTTCCACCTCTTCACTATATTAATAATTCCTACTCAGTTTGAATTCACATATTAAAAATGTGTACTTTAATGTCTAATATTAATAAATTAATACAAGCATGATGTGACAATTTTAAAACAGTCTCAAAATATTTTTGACATCTTAAGAAGAGTGATGTTATCCATACCACACTTTTTATGTTTCATACATTCTTATTTAATTTTAACTATCAATTCAAATGCATTAAAGAAGATTAAAAGATAAAAATTAACAATAATTACGTAAAAAATAAATGTGTAAATAACACTATTAAAGTTAAGAATCTAGTAGATATTTGTTTTGGCTAGACTTTTGTCTTTATTGTCGGGTAATGGTTATGCTGGTCAAACACTCAATCTCACTGTCCACTTGTTGGTGGGCAGCGATGCTCTACGTAAATTTTATTTTTTGTATTTCAGCAGATGGCATTAATTCTGGGGTTAATTATATGCCCTTTCTGGATCTTCTTTTTTGGTAGTGATAATGGCGTGTAGCAGGGAGACAAGCTTCTTTTATGCCTACTATGTGCTGAGGACAGTTACCGCCTTGGTAGGCGAAACCAGCATCAACTGCCTCGCTCTTGCTTATGTGGTAAGCATAAATATGCATTCCCTAAAACTTGTGTTATATTACTATTCAAGCAATTGATTACTTGAGTGTAATATGTTGGCCTTAATTAATTGAGCAACTTCATATTTGAGAATCTAGCGCTTGTTTAACATACTATTATAATTCTGGTTTAACGTGCAAAATTAAAATGTACTAAAAGAATGATATCAGTTTGATATACATTGTTGTCTCATTTCTTGACATGTTAAGTTTTTTGAAAGTCAATTAGTTGCGTAAAGCAAACAAATCCATGATATGATGTATGATTAAGCAAGTTATTGCACATTGTTTTTCATTAGTTATGAGCCATGACATAATTTGACGAGGGGCATTAATTTGATCTCTCGTTGCTAAAATGACATATAAAATTGCTTTCTTAATTCCAGGCCGACAATGTTTCAGAGAGAGAACGAATATCTGCATTTGCAATTCTTGCTGGTATTACTTCAGCAGCAATTGTATGTGGAACCTTAGCAGCTCGTTTCCTCACCACCGCGTCAATATTTCAGGTTTCCATTCCCAACCTCTACCAATAAGTCCTACTATACCAATTAATCTTCGTGATAATTCTAATTAATAATCCTTGTTTATGTATGGTTTAGGTTGCTGCCTTTGCATCAATACTGTCAACTGTCTACATGAGAATTTTTCTCAAGGAGAGCTTGCCGGGCGGCGATAGTTCTTTGAGGCAGCCTATCTTGAAAGGAGGAGTATCAGAAGTTGCTGATGAAGGTGATGTCCACTCACCGAAGACGATACAAGTATTTAAGAAAATTCCATCTCCAGGAGAGTTGATTTCCCTACTGAGGAGTAGGTAAGAGTTTTGTAAATTTGTGTCAAAAATCATCGTAATAAAACCCCGTATCTTACGAAGCTATAACTTGTAAAACCCTGTGCGTTGCAGTAAGATTCTGTCACAAGCAACAGTTGTTTCCTTCTTTCAGAGCCTGGCAGACGGTGGCATGCAAGCTTCATTATTGGTACAATTTTCATTTACCCTAATTTCGAACTTTCTTAGTCTTTTTAGTTGCTCAAAATCCAAATTTTTACCGTGCAGTATTTCTTAAAGGCTCGTTTCCACTTCAACAAGAATCAGTTTGCTGATCTAATGCTGATTTTTTCGATATCAGGGGCCACATCACAGGCTAGCAATACCTAACCTTCTGCTGCTACATTATACATATAATATATATATACACACACACATACACATATATATACATATAATATATATATATACACACACACCTACACATATTTATACACATATATTGTATAATATACATACATTTTTATATACTTCTTATATATAGACTCCTTAATTTTCTGTTTGTGAATTCTGCAGTTGCTTTTCATGCCTATGTTTGCAACTGCTATAGGAGAGGAAAAGCTGCTTACAATTGGGCTCATAATGGGCAGTATGAGTGTATGTGCCTTTGCTCCAATTCTTCCTTACGATCCTATAATTAAATGTGTCATTGTGAAGTGTTAACTAATGATTTTGAGATCGTAACATAGGGTGATAAAAATGATAAACCCTTCTATCCCAAAATTGCTAAAGTCAGTCGTCCATGCATGTTTGCACATGTGACTTATGAGCATAGATCGAATGTGGATCCCATAGTGATCTATGGTTAGAAATTGCCATGTGCATGTGTGATTTAAGGTCAAGCATGATTCCATAGTGATCTACAATAAAAAATCACACATGCGCACGTGGACGACAGACGGCCTATAGCATAGCTCTCACTATATATATACTGATTCAAAACATTTCTGACTCTTAGATCTGGCCTTGTGCAGATGTTTCTTAACAGCATTTCATGGGCAGTTTGGGTAAATCTTCCATTGCTGAATTTGCAAACTTCCTTCATGTTTCTTCACATATTTGCGTTTCCTCTGTTTTATAAAGTCGTTGAAAGAGATGTTCAAATGTTGCAGGTTCCTTATGCTGCGACTCTGTTTAATGTTTTCGGATATTTAGTGCAGCCAAGCGTATGTTTTTTGCTTTAATCTTTGGTAAAAACTATTTTCCCCATCTTCGCTGGTTGAAGAACTATGACTAGTTGACGGTGAAAATCATTTACTTTCACAGATACGCAGCATTGCATCAAAACAAGTTGGACCCCATGATCAGGTAATTTTACTAAGAACTTTAGTCGACTTTTAGGGCATGTACGAAGCACTTCTCCTCATAAGCTCATTACGTTGGAATTTTTATTAAAACCCTGAAGAAGAAAAAAGCACTTAAAAGTGCTTCTGAAAAACGTTCCAAAAAAATGGTTTTTTTTTTCTTTGCTCATGTTCATATATGTTTAAATCGACTTATTTAAAAAAGCAAAACTCATGTTCAGGGAAGGGCTCAAGGATGCATTTTAGGCATAAGCTCCTTTGCCAACATTGTTTCTCCATTACTTTTTAGTCCTCTAACAGGTATTTGTGGAATTTATCATTTATTATTATTTTTATTTGTGATTTTTGGGTAGATAAATCCTGTAATCCAAAATTTGACCAATTTGTCCTATCAAAAATACATATATATCCAGCTTTATTCCTGTCTGAAGAAGCTCCATTTAATTTCCCTGGCTTCAGTATTATGTGCATTGGCCTGGCACCGGTACGTATAATTTCCGATGGATTTTCTTGACATGTATAATTTCATTTTTCATTTCATATTTATTTATTTATTTATTTGTGCAGCTGATTGGCTTCGTTCAGAGCCTAATGATAAAGGCTTCTCCTAAACAAACCATCACCAACGTCTGCGTGGAATCTCCCTAGTAAGAATTCAAATTATACATATTTCTTACTTACACCAATACCTTTTCTCAACAGAGAGAGAGGAAAAAAAAAAAAAAAGTTTTATCTTAAAAAAAGTTTTATCTTATGGAGCCCTTTAATTCATACAAGAAACCTAAGAACAAGATAAAGCTCATGCCTACCAAAATCTCAAAGATAATGGGCGGCCGGAACCCGCAGCGCCGGCCTTGACAGAACGGTGTGGCATTTTCACGGTAAATGAGATGACGCAGACATATATGGTTAAATTCAGTAAAAAACAGTTTGTAACCTGGTGTTCTTGTATACTTCTTTCTTTAGTGTTTTTGTAATTATAATGTTACAAAAATTATTATATATAAGTTGGGATTTTATCAGATAAATTATTTCTAAGAAGGCAAATTCAGTAAGTGATCTCTGTGCAAGAGAAAACAGGAACATAGAGGATTATATAACCAAGAGGAAGACTAATTTATCTGCAACCAGAAAACTCGAACTAATCTGATTTCCGAAGGCAAGTATACAAACAAAGAAACATTATAGCTGGCGAAGCTCTTTTGGCAGTGTATAATACATTGGCCTCTATAAAACGAATTTCTATCAACCGTGGATGGAACTCTGTGCGGTAAAGGATTCAGTCAGTGATATAGATCATTGGGTGGCCTTTACGCCGATGCTGGAGGGCCGTGATTCAACTCCTAAATGCAGGAAACTGAAGTGGGTCTGGGTGTTGAGGTTGCGCGAAGGATTGATCGTGCAACCATTGAGTGACATCGTCTAGCAAAGTTGGTCAAGACGGTGATGGAAAAAAAAAGCAAAGAGAGAAGAAAAGCCTGCTCAGTTAAAGAGGATGGGAGATCTCAACCAAGAAAAAGTTTGTTCTTTCGAAGAAGTGGATGTCGGAATGGAATCATTCAAATAAAAGGCAACGAAATCATGCAATAAAAATAGAAAATAAAAACACCTTAAGTTAAAGACAGCACCCACAACGAATTGCTCACGTTTAAATATATAGCACAACAATTTGCAGCAGACAATCACACAACAGTATACTAAATTAGGATAAATCATTCCACAGGTTAAGAAGAGTCGTTGAAAATTCAGGCATTGCATTCAGATTTGCACATTGTTAGACTATACTATACATAAGCTCCAAATAAGAATCATCTTAATAAGCGTTTCTGCCGTTCAAACATCTCCTAATAAGCCGTAAATAATCTAGAGAATACAATGCTGAATTTAGAAATGTGACATCAAGGAGAGACCCAGACAGTGACATATACATGTGAAGACTAAGCAAAGGTTCCAACACATTAGCCTAGAATATACATACTCCTGAAGCGGTCGATCCACCTCATTGGATGGGAAATATGTCATCATTACCTTTATCATCATCCATCTCCAGATATTTGAAGTTAACAGCTTCCCACCCGTTACCTTTGTAATTAAAACCTGGACTCACATAGCACTTCATCTCATGAAACAGGTTCAAATGATCCACAAGCTTATGAAATGCATTGCATCCACAACACTGCAGAACCAGAAGAAAACAAGCATAACCGTTAGCTTCTTATCAACCATATCTTTTCCTTTAGTGCAGTACATTCATAATACTTGATTAAACGCTTAATTCAACTGCAATATAATTTATTATTAAAAATTCCAGAATTACTTGTCCAAAGTCACAGGCAAAAGATGTTCAGTAACGTATTATATACGTCTACCCCAAATTTGATACTCACCTCCCCTGAATTGCATTGTTAAAAGTTCTAAACCAAATCTTCTTTTTTTTTTTGTTTTTCACCTTTGCCTGCCTAACTTTTCCCCATTTGAATCATATTAAATACACAAAAATAAGGACTTAGAAAATAATCACTCAATCTGCAGCACCATGATTAAAGCCTAAGTTACTACCTGCACAAAGACGGTGCCATCAGTGTAAGCATGGGGGTTAATTGCCCGCGTTGTCCTTTGCCCACAAATGTTACAAGTGAAAGCTACAAGCATCCTCCGGCGAGGCGATTTGGTGAAGAGAGACCAGGGAAAAGTGGAGACATTCTCTGTGCTTTGTGTCTGAACCCCAGCAGGGGCAGGAGGGCCTTCCATTCCAGAACCCGTAGTCCACCCTCTTCCTGTCGCCGCACCCATCACCAGTCCCATTGCTGCGTCCTAACATCAGGTTTTCGACGAATCAATTTTCATTCAACACAAAATGCACAATCAAAGCTTTTACACAACAAAATTCCATCACCTCAATCACTCAGACAAGTTAATTTATTATTAAATGCATAATTTTGCAACAAAAGCACATACATTTTGTAATGTCAAACATCTGACATGAATTTGGTTTCTGATCTTTCCCTGCTTTCCTCCACCAATTTATCCAAAAGAAAAGTTTCAAAAGTAAAAGCTTGTGAATATACATATATATATATATATAGTACCTTGGAGAGTGGTGAGAGGGAGAGGTGGCGATTACTGAGAATCGGAAGGCGATTGATTTCTTTGGAATCCGACTTCGGATTTGATTCATTCTCGTTTCCTGAAACCGAAAATTTCCATTCCAATCAGATAAAATAACAAATTGCCGCGTTTGGTTGCCGGAAAAAATCCAAGGAAACTCGGAATCTCGAACCGCTCTCATAAAACTTGAAAATTTTGGAAATTTCATCGATCAATTGGCAACCAAGCGAAGCATAAGAGGGAAATAGAACGAAGATTTTACCTTTGGAGGCGAGCGGAAGCTGAAAGGGCCGTGAAGGGAGGGACTTTCGGGGAGAGAAAACGGAGAAGGAAGAAGCGGACGACGTGATTGTAGGAGAAGACGAGCTAATCAGGGCTTCCATGGGAATCTGCAGAAAGCAGCTGATTCCAGAATCTCAGACGAAGACGATGAAGATCGAAGAGGGCTCGGTGAGTCGAGTCGGGGTTGATAAAACTCGTCGTTGAAAAATATCGCGGGAGTTACGTGGACGGGAGGATTTAGCATCAGTTAGCTCTTCCTGGACTGGATCTGTTTGGGTCGGGTAGGTCCGGTTCTCTGTCAGAATTGGAGGCCTAACCGGCTCATTTTGCCTTATTTAGGTCATTTGACGTTTCATATATCCGATCTCCGATGCTGAGTTCATTGAAATACTTAAGGTACAAGCGTCTTACTCAAATTTTTTTATTGATACAAATGATATTAGAGAAGAGGAAAGTCGAACACAAGACCTAGATGTAAAGGAAGGGCAACCGGCCCTAAGAATGGGGCAACAGTGGTTAGTGCATAACTAGGAAATATCAATGTATGTTTTGATACAAAACATACATTGATTTTTTTTTTTATTGTTATTATTTTTTTTTTTTAACAAACGATAGTATCTAAACTAATAACATAAATTGATATTTCCTTTAGAATTACATTGTCACTGCTTCCCATAACGTTTGATATAAAAACTTGAAATGTTTTTGGATGATTGAAGCACTTTCTGAGTTGTGCTTCTAATGAAACTGCTTATGAGAAAAAGTACTTCTTGTACAGGCAGTCCCATACAAGCCCGGGTTTTTTAGTTAAAGATTTAAGCTTTTTGGCAATTGAGAATTGGGATCTTTCATATTTTGGGTCTGCCCAATTGGGCTTGATTTTTCATGGATTGTTGTTTTAAGGGAGTATCAGACTGGAGACAACATAAAGCCATTGGATTGGACCCCAAACCAAAAGTGTGCAAAGCGTTGTTCATATCCACCAAGATATGAATGTTTTACAGTCAGCCCTACCCTTTTGAAGGCCTCCAAAATTACACCGTGTTCGTCTCACAGGTTTGATTTTGTTCGCTTCTTCCTTTGCTTCAAAGTATCAACTTTTAACTTTTTAAACTTCAGAGCACGAAGAATTACAAAGTTGGGGTTGACTGAAATGAATAAGCTTTTAACTTCCCCAGCATAAGTTGTGATGGAAATGCGAATCTTCTGATAAGTTGATTTAATTTCTGTTTCGATGTAGGGTTGAGCCGACCACATTTTATTTCTATACCTGCAACGAGTGAAATCCACCATTTTCAGGACGGACCATGCCAGTTTCTGGTCCTCGGAGCTACCAGGAGAGAATAGCCCAACTACCACAATAAATCACTTGATAAGTAACAATCCTGATCGCGTTCTATCGATTGGTGATGTTACTTATGCAAACCTCTACCTCACAAATGGAGCTGGCTCCGACTGCTATTCTCGCTCATCTCCAAACTCTCCAATACACGAGACCTATCAGCCTAGATGGGATTTCAAGTTTGTGTAGGTATATGCAGAGTTTAGCTTCCAAAGTTCCAATAATTTCGGTCCAAGTGAACCATGAAATAGAACAACAGGCTGAAAATAAGACATCTGAAGAAAGCAGATCCTTGTCCACGTTCTACTACTCATTTAAAATGCTTGGAGCTTACATTGTACCTATGGCGTTGATACAGTTTTCAGTTGCAACATCACGATCAAATCACTCAGCGCAATATTTGTTCATATGGGGACCCGAGTTCATGAAGATCCTGTGACTGACTAGAATATCGTCGTTGTGTTTTGTGTAGCAGACATACAGGTCTAGGCTGCGGTCTGCAGAGAATGTATGTACTAGAATTATACTAGTTTAACCACCTGGATTATATTCTAACCGTGGGATTCAATGTGCATAACTTGCAGGTGAAGAATGAGACTTGGGCTTTATGGACAATGGTACACTGCATTTATACACACACGCACGTACGTATACAGGCCTTTTAAGATAAGGGATCTCAATTTTTTTTCAAAAAATATAGATTAGTTGTGAGATTCACTCTACATCGAACTTCAACGATCCAAACGGTCTATTTTGTAAGTCTCGATTCATAGATCATCTTTACAAAAATTCAACTCAATCCAAAATCATTTGCCTATTTAATTATCACGATGAAATTTCTATATTTCTTAGCAAACAAAGTGTTCGTCAATTTCTTTAAACTCAATTAAATGCATCAAATATTTCCGATTTGGCTAATATTTTACAAGGAGCAACTTGAAAAATAGATAGTTCGAATCGTTAAATTTCGATGTGATGTGAACCCCGCAAATAATTCTCTTTTTATTAAAAATCGACATCCCTTCCATTAAAAAGCTTCCTATCTAGAGAGAGAAGCAGAAGAATGGGATGACGGTTACCAGTGCACCGCTTGGTCCTCCCTCTCATTTTCTTATTTTCTTCAACTTCTTAATGTCTTAAATGCAATAAGGGTGTCCAAAGAACTCACTGATATAATTCACCTGCTAAAATCTTTAAGACTAAAATGAGATAGGACATTCTCTCTTCTAATCCTACCATTGTAAAGAGAATTGAAAACGATAAGTTTCCTTATTGGTAAAGTGAGACACTCAAGGAACGCTAGATTAATACAGAAAACAAATACATAATCTCAAAACTCATGCACAAATAGAAAATATTAGAAAACCACTTATGAATAAAGAAATAACATGAAATATAAAGATCCAGTACACATGATAATTATCCAAAGAGTATAACTTAGAACCTAATTATGTACAATTACTATCAACAATTCATAGGCTTCATTGCCACTCATGACTCAACTAAACACATCATCCAGGCTTGCCGCGTCTCCTTCATCGCCTGAAGAATCATCATTGTTTGGCTCAAATGAAAGTATTAGCTCTAGAAGGTCCCGACCGGAAGATGAGTTCTCCCCCGTGCGATCTGGGCTTTCACTCTGCCTTTGCAGTGAAAATAGTTGCATCATCAAATCCTGGGGGGATGATAAGCGGTACATCCAGCCCCTAGCCTTCGGTTTCTTCTGGACACAATTATAAAATTACGAACATCATTAGCATCATGATAACCATCAAGAAAACTTCTAGCGTTGTATCATCAACATGACATTCAATCGATGCCACCTGCATGGTCATCTAAATCATCATCGTCATCTTCGTCGCCATCATCATCATCGTCATCGTAGTCGTAATCATCATCATCAAAAATATTGTCTTCTGAAAAATATTCATCATCATCCTCATCCTCCTCCTCCTCCTCCTCACTAGCATACCACATTATTCGGCCAGGTATCACGACCTTTACCACACAAGTAACAGCAGAGAAATCAGTTCCTCTGCTGCCCATATAGGTTCTAGCATCGGTAATATAGCCCTAGTCTGTATCTAATTGTTTATTAACATCATAGTACCAACATTGGCATACATACAGGCGTTTCTAGGACTACCTAGTAGGGTCAGCAACCACGTGAAGCTGCACCAAATCAGCTTTATAGACCCCACCTGAATCTCTAAGCGATATTGAGGTTTAGAAAGAAGAGTTCTCTCCAAAGCATGTATTAAACAATAAATGCCTAAATGTTGAAAATGCAAATTATGGTCTTTTGAGCAAACACAAAATAAAAATTACCGCAAGTAACAAACAACTAATTTTTTTGGAATAAATGAAAATGCCATGTCCTGAGCCTCCCACTCCCATCCCATTTTCCACTTTCCCTTGAAGAGAAATGTTAATTTCAATGCCATCAACATCATCATCCGAGACTCAAAAGAACAGGTGATGCAAGCACCATATAAAAGAAGGATGAGAAAAATTTACTTTTCATAGGTCATGCAAGTTGGTCCATGAAGCAAAATCTAAACCTTAAAAAGAGATTTTAAAGTAAACGAAATAGTTTAGAATAACAAAGCATACCTGCTCGATTTTCTGAGGCAGAATAGCTCTCTCATTGGCCTTGGGAGTCCACATCTTTATGTCATTTTCAATTCCACTACTTGCAAGAACTGTGGTGTGAGGATGAGACTCGATGCAATTTACCACATGCTTATCTGCTTCCATAACACGAATCAGCTCCCCACCCTTTTTCTTCCATATGAATATCCGCCCACAATCAGACCCGCTCACAACATACTCACAATTAGGCCCAAAGAAGTTCACACCTTTTACTGTCTCACGGTTCATATGACCCTTGTAATCTTGAGGACCAAATCTTTTATCAACATCCATAGTTGATGGAGACTTTTCACACTGATGATCACCACTCGTTTCACTTGCATCACTTCCCATAGAAACTGGAGAGGATGGAATTGGATTAGGTCCCAATCCCATATCTCGAGTAAAAAGATATATGAACTCATCATTATATGAGACAAGAAGTTCGCTCTGTTCTGAGAAGGCCAATCCTGTAATTCCCACTTGTGCATCATCAATCAAGTGTGGTGGGCAAAAGAAATCTGTGGGTTGGCCAACATCAGATGACCCATCCCAGTTATACTTACGGATATCAAAAAGTCGTGCACATTCATCAGCACCTGCCACTGCAAAGAAATTTGGGTTTCTTGGGTCAATTGCAATTGCATTTAGATGGATGGCTGGCATGTAACTCCTCCTATTATCAAGAGGTTTGCACGTGAAAAGTTCTGTGGCAGCATCAGTCCTCAGATCAAACTGTAAAGTAAAACCCAAGTCACATGGTTGTATAGCACAACAGAACAAGGAAAAAAAAGCCAAACATTTAAAACAAAAGCACTACCAACATCACCACCATCATTAAGAATTGTAAGAGATTACCACATAAATTTGCTCATTCTCATCTAGAAAGACTCAATGAGCCATTAAATTTTGAAAGTTTTGAAGTCAACAAAATGCTAGAAACGGACCTCATCCTCTTGAGTACAGTTTACCAATTTTCAGGAACACATAATATCGCAAATTAAAAGATTCCATATTAGTGTTTACGACTAGCAAAGGAAATTATTACTCACATGTTGCACCAATCCATCTTCACCACAGGTGTAAAAAATATGAGGACTCCCAGGCTCAACGGCCAACTTATGAGCGCGGCCCATATGTCTGCCCAACAATGAAGTATTCACTTGTCCCCGCTCTAGAATTTGAGAACGTCTCACCTATATACATCAAATACACATACTAGGATTATTTTAATGAAACTTGGATGTTCCATGGCATGATGACACTGCTTTAAATAAACAAAGTACCTGCCCATCAGCAGCACAAGTAACAATTGTGCGATCATCGGTATAAGGCATGATCTTTGCTTGGAATATATTATTATTATGACCTGAATGGAAAGAAAGCTGAGCTTTCCCAGTTTCCCAATTCCATAGGATAACCCGCCTGTCATCAGAGCCCGAAACCAGAATATCACCATCGGCATTGAAGCTTACAGTGTTCACACATCCTTTATGCTTCTCTAGCTTCCGATAGATTTCCAATCGGAGCACGAGATCCTGAAAAATGATATCCACAACCTTCAGTACAAAACTGATATGAGCCTCTTCAACTCCATGCATGACACACCACACTCAAATTCTCCTGAAGAGATTAGAGCAAGAACTCATATCCACTACCTTCAATACAAATTTCACAGCCATAACACATCGAATTTCGCTACTATCAGTGAGTTCCTCAATATAACATAGCAAGAAAGAATAAAAATCCAACTTTAATCTAGCATCACACAAATATGGTCTTAATTTTATCCATAAAAGCAAAACACACATAATCCAAAAACCCAATGCATGAATTAGCCTATCATTTCAACTCCCATATCAGAAATCACTAAACCCAAAAGAAAAGAATAAGTTAAATATCAGAAGCCATAGAGATTGTTCTTTTTGTTCAAAAAATGTTCAAACTTCCACTAGCAAGGAGACGAAAAGCTTCTTCTGATTTTGAGGAGTGAATCTATATCACTTCTTTTCCCTTGTCAGAAATAGATCGAATTACTTCCACTGTAAATCCGATAATGATAATGATAATAAAAAAAATGGCGGGACAAGATTATCCAGAGGATGAGATACCTCAGAGCCGGCGAGGCGCTGCTTGAAATTTCTGGCGGAGAGCTGGCCGACCTCCCGCTGCCAAACATTGACGACAGCCTTGTCGATACTTGTTCGATGCCTCGTGTTCATCGTCGGAACTCGCAGCAGCAGCAATCAAATCACTCTGATCGAATTGATCGATGATCGGTAGATGATGACTCGGTGGAATCGGAGCGAGTCGCGATTGATGAAGGAGAAGATGAGATGGCCTGAGGAGAGAGAGTCACCGGAAGAGATGAACTCACCGCCAAGATGAGAGACGAAGTCGCGAGAAAAATATGAGGGTAGGGGAAACTGGAAACAAAGAGACGCTGAGAAAGATTGAGATGCTAGACTAGTAAAAAGTAAAATACACAATAATAATAATTTATATATATATATATATATATATATATATATCATGCCCTTTATTCAAAAGGATTTTTATTTTTTTAAATTGGAATTATATGTGGATCTCACTCCACGTCAAACTTCAATTATTGTAAGTTTCGATTTATAGATTATTCTTACAAAAATTCAATTCAATCTGAAACTATTTGCCTATTTAATTATCAAGATAACATTTCATTATTTCTTGTATAACAAAGTATTCGTTACTTTTTTTTAACCCAATTAGATGTCTTAAATATTTCCGATTTAGCTAATATTTTGCAATGATGATTTATGAGGTGTAACTTGAAAAATAGACGGTTCAAATTATTAAAGTTCGATATAGTGTGAACCTCACAACTAATCTCTATTTTTAAAGAGAATGTGTATCTTTTTACCTAAAAGCTTCTTTTATATATTCGGTACCACCGGTAATGGATTTTATCTTTTGTATACCCTTATGTATAGTTTGATACGAATACTTTACCATTATTAGTTGGTACAAATTTTTTCACAAATTTAATATAATATAGTTGGTAATTCGGTTTATACGATAATTTGACAAAAAATCTCACCCCTAATTGTACAAAGGGCACTTGATAGTAGGATCTGTGACCCTTTATTGTTAATTTAGTTATCTATTGGACTAGTTCACTTATGAACTAGAGTTTATTTTTAGTTGTTATTACATTGATTATTTGATGTATCCTATGTATGAATTTCATTTAATTCGAAGCGCTACATTTACTCGTCAATCCTTAATGTCTTTCTTTATCACGCTCATAATTTGAGTTTATTTTCAGTTGTTATTTAATTGATTATGTGATATTAGGGATGACAATTCAACCTGTTAAATCCTATAACTATGGATAATTGTCCGAATAGGTTGGATTTGGGAATGAAAACTTAATTATTTTTTGGTTATGGGGAAAAACCGTGAATATGATTCGGTTACAGTTTTGAATATGGTTATACAGGTTCTCAATCTGTATTCATCCCTGAATCCATCCCAAATAATATATATATATACACACACACACGCATACATATATGTATATTCACAAGTATTGAAATTATTTGATAATTTTTTTACCATGAACACTTCCATAAAATATTGTTATGTTTTTGGTTGTTTGGATGTGGATATTTGATGACGGGATTAGTATCTATTAAATTATAATGCATAAGTTGAACAAATAATGTTTTTCTATTGACGAAGATGGATATAACCGTTAGCTGATAGAGAATCTGTTACCTGGTGGGTATGGTATGGATAATCCACGATGGTTAATTTGCAGCTATGAATATGATTAATTTTCAAGTTATGAGATGGATATGTCATTTCCGTCTCCAAACCAACCATTGTCATCCCTATGTGATATATCTTATGGAGGAGGCACAAATGGAATGAGGATCCTCTCCAGATCTTCATTGTGAGGATCTGGAAATCCTCAAATCGTGTCTGTTCATCATACATCGTGCTGTCATAAATCATTTTAAATACTTTTATTTAAAATTAAATATGAATAGTATCTGACGAAAATTGATTACACGATGTATAATGAACGGACATGATTTAAGGATCTTTGATATCCTCACAAAGAAGATCCGAAGAGGATCCTCATGGGTATGACCGGAGTATCATCATTCTGATATTTTGTCTTTTGCTTAAGCGACATCATTATTATTATTCTTGGTTACAAGTTAATTTGCGCCTCGTCCTCCTATACAATTAAACCTTTATAAATGAATAGCCTTGGCACCAAGAAAAATCTATTAATTTAGTGAATATTAAATAACTGATAATTAATTAATTATTAATTCATTCATTAAATAAAAAATTGGGTAAATTATATTTTATTCTTTCATGTTTGAGTGCAATTGCAATCTCATACAATGTCATTTAAACATATTTCAATTGTATATATTTACCAACTTGTTCTTTATTTTCTTAAATATTGTAAATTATTTTTAGTTTCTCGTTTCATGAATGAATAATTTGATGTATTCCTTCTCAAAAAAAAAATTGATGTATTTGTTTAACTAAGTAAAATTCGTAATCTATTTATCTTTTCTAAATATAGATTGTTTATTGTATCAGGAAATTATTAATTCATATATTACGTGAGATCTATATGAATTTTTTATGATGAATTATCTTATAAATTTAGCAAATTATTAATTTAGGACGTTATCTCTAAATCAAGAGTGGCCAAAAAAATTATTTGACTGACGTTATTAGTATGTTGGGTATTAAATTATCGAGGTTATGCTGTATTATCCACACCATTTCATCGTTAAGTGAATCACAAGTTTATCATTTTTATCCTTGTGGAATGTATATGGCATGTCAGCCTGAAATTCACACTTACTTAGTGAGATAAAGAAATATAGTAGATATTTAAGTATTCTATATGGATCACAACATACAAGTAATATTAGAGAAAATGTTCTTCGTTTCTATAGTTGTTTCGTCTATTAATTGTGATGGTATTGGTGTCAATTTACATTTGTGATGGTATTGGTATCAATTTACATTTGTAATGGTTGTAGTCGTACAATACAAGATATGTTGGAGGAGACCAAAAAGATTGCAGCTAATTTAGTTTTGGCACAATGTTCTGGAAGTAAGACTCAATACGCACGTACGAAGTATCATGAACAAATCATAAACTCGTCCTTTTCTGTTTTCAGAAGTATCACTAGATTAAGGAAACAAACAAAGAGCTCCTACAAGTGGCTTCAGCACAATGTTCTTGGAAAAAAAGAAAATATTTTTGAGTTGTAACTTGTAAGCACAATCAAACTTCTAAATATGCCAAAAAAACACAACAATCAAAAACAGCAAATCCGTTGTGTGAAATTTACTATGTTCTCACATTGGGACTCCAATCAATCAAACAAGCCAACCCAAACACTCAACTCACCAATTCCGAAAACTCCAACCTCAACCAGAAGAGGAAAATGAATCCTAATTTATGATCCAATAAATTCAATACCAAATTTTACCCAATGACAAAAAGTAAACCACTCCACAATTTATCGCCAACCAAACCCATAAATTCGATCAACCAACAAACTAAAATTAAATCTGTTGTTCGGGTATCGTTAAGTGTAAAAGGAAATTACTTTGCATAAAGAACAATTTACATGAAAATAATTCAGAAGCTGACAATCATTTAAGACAAAACCATATTCATCGAGGTCTCAATTTCGTTTTTCATTACAAAGTAACACTTAGGTTACCAAAGAAAATAATAGTAGTTATATCTTGAGAAACAGACTGTATTTTCAGCAACCTAACGTCTTGTCTAATGATTTTCGAATATCTAACAGTTTCTTCTTGGCTTTTCTACGCAAATTTCTGTCATCCAAACAAGAAAGTAGAATATGTAACTCCAATATTCTATGAACAAGAAAACCGTTCTGATCAGAAACAACAAAGTTGCTTGAACATCAAGCGCAAAGAAAAACTAAGTTCATGGTTTCACGTCTGCTTTTTTCTGATGCCCTTTTAAAGTAGAATGGCCGGCGAAAACTTCATAAAATTGCTCCTATAACACAAATGTGTTAGTCCACTCAAATAGATAATCCAATTCAAAGACTGTTGTTGACCACTTGATTGAGCGGACTAACACATTTGTGTTATCTATTTGAGCGGATGAACCGAGAAGCGCCGATGAATTCTTGATCAACTAATTGTATAGCCAGACTACCTGAGCAGTATCAAAGTAACAAAACCCGACACCCACGAGACTTTTCCCTCTATTGACGAGTAAAAAAAAGCATTCTTAAACTCTGGATGCATAGCGCAGATCCTATCCGAGAGGAGGGTAAAAGGAAAATGCCTTTCCTCTTGCATCTCACTCGAATCTGAAGAAATTAGGACCAGAAAATACAGTTTGTCAACTTCCAAGGTTGAAGAGTAGATAGACAACATATTTACCATACTTCGCTGATAAGGACTTGGCAGAGGTTAAATTAGCAATGTACCTGCTTCTCACCTGTTTCCGTCACTGACCACAAAATTCATCGGTTACTCTGACTTGTAGGCCAAATAGGAAGAAACAGCAAGGTGTTCGTAAACATTACAATAGCAACATGTGTGCTTCATATCCACCAGATTGGCACATGATAAAGCGTTCACACTAATCATCAAATCTCATTGTATAACACTACATAAGCTGGCCGCAATGGTTCTGTGGCTCCGAAAAATGTAAAATGTGAGCCTTTCCTTTCTCTATTAGGACTTGCAGTTCGGTCTTCAATTCCTGCCCTATGGTCATGGCAATGCTACAAGACTCGAAGGTGTTCCGTGTTCAATTGAAGAACTCAATGGGGTTTCGAATGGTGATGAGGGTACGGTGGTTAAAGAGTTGGTTGGATCAACGGTTTTGGAGGAGTCGATGGTGTGGGAGTCCTTGGAGGCCAAGTTGGATTTGCATGGTTTGCATTTGGGTTCGCTTTACTTGATAATGTTGGAGTGGTTTGAGGCAATGAGATACAAGTTTAACTGTGGGGAATGTGTGATCCCGACAGAGGTTGTCGTCGTTTACAGGTTGGGGAAGCATAACAGTGTTAGAGGGGAGCTGCCGGTTAAAGTTCTGGTTAAGGTGATGATGCAGGAAGTCCGATGAGAATCAACAGGAAGAATGTTGGTTGTTTCATTGCCAAGGGGAGAGCTGTGAAGTGCTGGTTATGTTTGAGTGGAGTTGCTCTTGTGGAAACTTATAAGTGCTGCTGCTAAAAGTACTTTCAGTAGAAACAAATCCAAGCAATTCCTTGAAGAAGCATCTAACAAGTGCTTTTTCGAAGAGCACTTCAAAGTGGTCCTTAAACACCTCTCTAGTTGAAAATCTAATCAAGCTTTTGATACAGAAATATTTACTCTAGAAGTTGCAGTAAATTACATGTTTGCATCCACAAAAATTGGATAGCAAAACTGGCTTTTTCAGCTTCATCCAAAAATACCATCAAAGGAGCTTGATAGGGATACATGTAGTAATTGTCAAGTGAAAGTACGCACGAAGTATACACATTATCGTCGATATCTCCAAAACAACATCACATATGCAGAGAATGGTTTATGCTCGTCGAATCCTAACCCCTACACCACACAAAATGGCTACTGAGCAAGCAAGCTGTCACAGTAAGGGGATGATACAGAGCACATTCATCTGTTAAGAGTGGAAAAACTGTACAATTGAGGCCTCTTTTGATGGATCTACTGAACCATAAAGCCATAATACCACCCAAACAATAATCTCTGTCTAGTTTTTTGCCGTTGGCCAACTCCGGGGTTGTCAAGTTCAGTCGGGCCGTTCAGATTCCTCCAGTATCTGGTAGCAAGACAACACGAGAATGGCATTTCTTATCACAAAGCGTCATCATAGCAGAATAGAAATCAAAAACTCATTTCCGAAACAGAACATCATTGTAGCGAAAATGCAAAAACAGAAAGTTTAAGGAATACCAAAGATACATTAAATATTGTCTTCCATGTGGAATGGCGATGCCACATTTCTTGGTTAGTTTGTTACAAGCCCTAGTCTCCGATAACATTGTAAGAAAATTGTATTTTGTGCGCCTACAATCTATTGGTGTAGCCTCCTTAACCGCACAGGCATCAAATCCTGATGCTAATATTACATTGATACCATTCCCTAATCAATTTTACTTCAATTAGCTATAAACAAAAATTCATGATCTGTTAGTCATCCACGCTGATCTAATTCCTTCACCTCATGTGTGATTAATGTAAAATAGTACAGCAAACAACACTATGAACCTAATGTCTTCCGCATTCCATTGTCGATATCAAAGTCATTATAGCTATAATAGCATTGAAAAAAGACCTTAACAACAGAGAAATAAGAGCATACCTGAACAAAAAATACGCTGGAGGAATCTTTAGCAACGAACCCTTGAAAAGCCAACTGCATATTTCTAAGATTTTTCGTAAGGCTGCTTGAGAAAATATCTGATGAAGCACAAACGCTTCGTTGATTCAACTATAAAACAGGAGAACCCTTTATCAATTACACTTCAAAACCAAGGCATCCACCAGATATACATCTTTCCAAGATTTTTGTGGGCGACTGCTTCGGCTATTAATCGACGAGCCTGACCTTCTACTGCCAGTGGCAAAGATGGTGCCGCTCCGACACCAACAACTACTCCCTGCAACCTTGCCTCAATGTTACTGATTGCTCGCTGAAATGTTGATATATATAACACAATTTAGTGATTGTTTCACAAACCATGGATCACAAATGCAACTTCTGATCTTAAATCCCTATGCAGGGAACTTTAAAGAAAGGGACATCAAAACTTATCAATTCGGTTTAAACGTGCAACGGAACAGCATCACTACCATAAAAAATTCCTTACTCCCTCCCAACCCATTAATATCTTTCCACATTCATCAGTTGGATATTATTTAAAAAAGATGCATAAAATTTAAGAAATTTCAGATTATAGTTCAATACCAATGGCCATTGCATAAAGAAAATCCTTGCTCCCGTTCTATCAGGCGGATATTGCTTATGAAAGAAAATCCCAACTTAGATCAATTATGAAATTATAAGTCAAAGCCATTACTAACTTTACATTTAAAAAAAAATATGATGGTTAAGGTAAACCTGTCACAACAACGTCAATAGGAGATAACGAAAGATTGAAACCTGTGCATGTGGATTCTGAACCTCTACTCCACTGGACTTGTGTGATTTTGTCCATTCCACAAGAGGATCGTGGACAAAAGTTTCAAGAACGCTCATTAAAGTCTCCCTATGCATCCTCAGTACCGAAAGTGTGATTTCACAGACCCTCAAAAAGATTCCCTCATAACCAGTGATGCCCAAGCCATCAATCATATTCTGCAGGTGTCATAACAGTCCCCATGAAAATAAATACCAGTAATAAGAAACCATTAAGACTGGATATGATTATATAACAATCATTAGTGGATGAAGTATTAACTGTGCTCAGACTACAACACTCTAGTCATGTTACATAATTTTGATAACCAGCACACAATGACTTTATTTTTATTTTGGATACAGATGTTATCTTTTTATTTTCTTTTTGCAGAAGGAGAGGTACTCATCAACCAATGTATAAACAGCCCAATAAAATATAGTTTACTTTTTTCCTCCAAGAAAAAAAGAAAAGTATTAGAAAACTTGCCACAGGGGAAACAACATTTATGCATACGCTTCTCTCACCTGAGTCAACCTAAAAGGCACCAGCTCAGGCTTCTCTAACTGCAAGCCTTTGTCAAATAAGCAACTGAAATCAACATGAACACAGTCTCCTGTTGTAGAATCAAAAAGAATGTTTTCACCGTGTCTATCACCCAGCCCTACAATATGGCCAACCATGGACCAAACTGCAGTGGTATGTGCATAAGCAATCCGAGCCCTAAACCAAGCAGCTGGCTCAGAAAAAGTGGTCAAGAACCATTTGTGGAATACTGGGGGGAACATTGGAAGAATTTTGTCCTTCAGCATCACATCTTCTGGTATTTTACCTTGGCATTGATCATAAATCCGTTTGATATGAGGATTTGTCTTTTGCCTATCAAATTTTCCACAGTTTATGTATATGTCTTGAAGTATATGCCGAAGTCCACGAGTGTGAGGCACCCATTCTATCATACCACAGTCCTCTGTCAAAGGAATTACCGCAAAGGTGCGAATGTAGAGTTTCCTCAGACGGCTTTCTGGGTATTTAGACAGCAAACGGTTTATCATTGCAGTGAACTCCATCATGCGGGCATCTTTCCTAAGGTCATCCTTGGGTTTGCAGAGGAATGGGCGTTCAATGCCATCACTGCCTAATAAAACAATCTGAAATGCCAAAGAGAATGATTAAATATTACAAAGATGATGTGTAATGACATACATAATAGACAGTTCACAGGACATGCCCAAGAGACAATAGGAAAAAGATAACTCGCCAGAAATATTCTTCAAATCCACAGTTTTTGCACTTTACCACAAGTTATTTTAGAAATCTATCCGGTCAGTGTTTGGACTCTGCACGTAAATTTAGAATTGATTTCCAGATGGTGATTGGTGATTTTAGCTTTTTATTAAGTTAGAAAAAAAAGGGGTGGGAGGGTTTATTCTGCTAGTTCATAATTTTAACAGCATTTAGGAGGGCAAACCAGCATGCATAAGAAATTTGGTAATATGATGCCTTCTCAATATATTCCCTGCTATGGCATACCACAGATTAATCACTTGAATTACAAGTATGATAAGATATAGAACCTACTTTTTTAGGCCGTTGAAGAGATGAAAGAATCTCAGCCTCATCACCAATTCCTGATATTGTAGGAAGATCAGTCGCCGAAAAAATATCAGATCTAAGTGAGTCACTGAGCTTCCCGTCATATGTTGGTAGGCTAACAGTTAGAGACTGCTGAATTGGCATGATAATGCCCAGTGGCATCATCCTCTTTAAGGCACTAAATTCAGTTGAGATATTAATCGCTTTTGCCTTTGACTGACCAGGATGGAAGCACAACTTAATTAAGTGATCAATCAGACTTGCAAACTGAACAAATAGATTGCTACCCGTATTTCCTTGGGTGAACCCTTTTCGTGCAGCCTGTAGGATTTCTGCAGCTGCCTCCCGCCTTGAAGGAACAGTCGATTTTGAAACTGCCGCCATAATCCAGAGCGCTTGTTGTGGGTATTGCCGGAGAACAGTTGTTATTATGTTTTTGACCAATCGAACAACTTCCTCATTCTGGTGGCAAATTCTGGAAACCAACTGGGGTAGTACTGTTAACCACTGGTACGTTGGCAAATCCTTCAAACATCCTTGCATGATTTTTATTACCTAAACAAAATAAGAAAGGAACATACAATGGAGAAATCAAAGTTTAAATGTAACTAAACAAATTTAAGTTCGTCTTCGACATACAATAGTTACCTTCTCATGAGTTTTTTTCAACTCTTTACTGGATGCTGTGCCACATGTTAGATACATACTTCCAAAGTCAAACCATAGGGTTAACAATCTTGGAAGTGCTTGAAAGAGATTTTTGTGACCCTTAAGAAGCCCCCTTGCATAAAATAACAGTACATCAGGTACATACGACCACCAAGGCTTCTCAGTGCTTAAATTTGGAGAACCAACAATAGCACTATTTGATGGCATTTTCCTTGCACTGAGTTCTATATTTTCTTCCTGGCGTTTCCTGGCATCAGCAAGCAATTCCTCACAATACTTAGCAATGTAGAAATATCCTTTCTCCCACTTAGGCTGCAGTTCCCTCACCCTCGTATAAAGACATAATACATCTTCTTTCTGCTTTTGCCTAGTGTGTTGGATCCACCTAGTATAGAGGAGTAGGGTCTTTGCAATATCTCGATTCTCATTCAAAGCTTGAGTATCACAAACTAACAGCGGCTGGTTCAGTGGAACCAGTGAAAGACTAGTAATTGATGAAATTGCAGAGGAACCAACAATCTCTACAGGCATGTTCAGGAGAGACTGCTGCAACTGTGCAATGGCACCATCAGATCGCCGGGTGCTCCATAGAAGTTTAGCCTTCTCCATGTGGACATTAGGTCCACCTGTAGCTTGAGCTTCTAGAATCGCCTGGTTTGCTGTCTCATAATGACCAGCCATGCGACAGAGCTTTGCATATTGAAGCCAGCAGTTCCCAACTTGAGCACCCAAAGCACTGGCAGCAAAAACTAATCTGCGGAAGGCCAAAAGTGGCTCTCTTGCCCAGAGTGATGGCTGTGTAAACCTGAGACGGTTTTCCCAGTTCTCCATCAACTGGGAGAACCCATGATCACCCAGTTGAAATGATTTCTCCAAGAAAGAATCATCAACAAGAAGAGAGTGAAAGTCCTCAAGCTCTCGTAGAAGGTGAAGTTTTACAACAAATGGGTAGGCCCGTACATAGGAATCCATGCCTGCAGCAGCGAGAGGAGCAATGAGCGCTTGCTTTGAGAGGGCAATTTTTTCAGCAACTGAGAACTGATCCTTCTTCATCATTGCCTGGAGAATCTTTGCAACATCCATATCAAATGAGGCATTACTTTCAGAACTGCTACAAAGTAGACCTTCTTCATCAGCTCCACTAAGATATTCATCCATCAAATCCCACCTGCCAAGCCTCCATGCTGCCTGCACACCTTGCATGCACCATGTTTTCTTGTACTGGGGAACCCTAGAGATTAAGCCATCCACATGAGTAACCATTGCCTGAAGGTGACACATGTTTAACAAACAGTTAAGGACATCAGAATGCCTTTGAACTGATGTTGGTTCCATTTGCAAAGCTTGTTCACAAGAAGTTAAAGCCTCTGCCCAGTTTCCCGCTTTTTTGTTTATTAAGAGCTGGTCCTGTAATTGTAATCCCATAGATTTACGTAAACATGCAAAGCCAGAAAGACCATCAGGCTCATCTAGGCAGCTGTATATTTCCATTAGATATGTAACGTCTTCATCATCAAAGATGCCACTTTTATCAGATGCAGGGTTGAAAGAACCTGACTTTCCCCTCACGTATGACTCAAAGTACATTAAAGACCTTGCATAAGCCTGGCACCTGAAGGAGGCCCTGGCAAGGGTTACCTTAGGAATTGCTGACAACAGTTCTGAAACATATTTACATTGTACAAGGAGATGCTCCTGATCTGCAGAAGAGTTACGAGTTTGATCCCTTGTCTTGGATGCTTGTTGCTTAGAAGCCAGTGATTGAGAAGCCTGGGAAAGAGCTAATTCTTGTTTAATGTCATCCACCCATTGACCAAGATTATCAAGGAGAGTGAACACAGCTTGAATGCAAACTTCAATTTTCCCACCCTTCACTCCATGAGCTCCATCCCCACTGTTATCAGATGCTGCAACATCAAGAACATGTAGGATTTCTTCTGTTATGCCATGACGTGCCTCCTCCGTGCCATGACAAACAGCATTAAGAACCAGATATGGAAGCAGATATATTGCTGTCTGCATATCATGACGCACAATACCTCGACAGGAATTGAAAATGCTGCTACGAGAACCAGTGGCATGTGCAGTCAGCTTTCTTATCCAGGAGAATATCCATCTCCTGAATGACATAGATGGCCTGTAAATTGGGCCGACAAATGAAGAATCAGCAAAATTGGGAAGTTGAAACCTAGAGGTTAAGCAAGGGGCAATTATCTCCTTAACATAATTGGAGAATCTATCCCATAATCTCTGACCCCTTCTATTCATCTCACTGCTACCATCAGTACCCTTAATCCCAGATGCAGCAACATTTAAAGGCTCTTTGCCCTTAGGAGTCTCTGATGTGGATGAAGAAGCATTCTCATCTAAAGAGGCCTCACAACCTGCAATCTTTAACAGTTCCTGTATAGCCAATGCAGCTGAGTCTTGAATTACAGTGTCAGGTGCAGCTCTAAAAGCCCTTGCAAGGTGCTTGTGAATTAACTCATATATAAGGTCATCATCGGAGCATTCAATTTTAAAGCGTTGGCATGAAAATCCTTTCAGTTTAGCAGGATCAACCGCTCCCAGGGCCCCAAGGCAATCAGCACAGACCAACTTCAGCCGCTGTCCAACTGCGGTCCTTGATTCTTCTGCGCATCCTCTTAGTAAGGATGTAATTAAAGAACTCAAAATATCCATATCTGTACCACCTTCAGCAGTTATCAGAGCTGTAACCTCTTCCTGTTTCAGGCTCAGCAACTTGCTCAACTCGCAAACTACCATATATCTCACATTTAAGCTCTCATGATTCAAACCATCAACGACATCACGCAATCGATCCTTCAATTTCATTGACCCTCGCACTTCTTGTATAGCTTTGTTCACTTCTATTAGAGCTGAAATGCTGGGCAACGGAGGGAACTCGCGTATATGCAGCTTTAGAACGGCCCTGTTATTTAGTACAAGTTCTTCCAAAATGTTTACCACTTTATCTAGATGTATAGGATTTTCGTCATGTCTCTCTAAAAAAGGAATAAGGGCAGCAAAAACTTGAGAGATAACATGTTTAGTGCTATCTGGCGATATTTTTACCAGCTGCACAATGAAAAAATGCAGCACAGAAAGACCCTCACTCTGGAGGGCTTCTTTACCAATAGCATGCATGAGAAGAACCATCAGTTTAGGCACATAAGTAGTAAGGTGAGAACCCATCATTTTAATCAGCATCTCAATACGTTGTAAGGCTTGTTTATGCAATGAAATGTCTTCTGCATGGAGCATCTTTCTGTCAATACTGTTAAGAAGGCCAACAAAATGATTCCTCAAAAAGCTTGGAAGATCTTCACCACCAGTCAGAACTCTAGCAACCTCTTTTATCATCTCAGGAACTCTTGCTAACCTGCAAGCATATATGAAATGTTAATACGTTGGCAGAATTCTTGCATCTGTTGCAGCACAGAAAAACTGTACTAATACATATCCCTGCAACAGATATTCACAATTTTGCTAGTTAGTAGCCGAAAGCAATTAAAATTTAAAGTATTGAATTGCTTCGGCATATCTGAGTGAAAAGAACATTATAACCAACAGGATGCACTTGCAAAAACAACGGGGGAAGTACAACTCTATACCTTCTGTTTATCTCATCTGAATCACCTCCATCTAAAAAGCATATGAGTTCGTCCAAAAGGGCAGGTAATGCAGCTGCGAAGATTTCTTGTTTGTCAGAACCAGTCTGCGTATGGTAAAACTGCAAAGCAACAACTAACTCTCGTGCATCTACTTGATGGAGAGCAAAAGCTAGCACTTTTGGTAGCCAATTAACTATAAGAGGCACCAAATCAGTGTTTAAACACTTGGCCAGTTCATATAATGTTTCAAGTGCTTGATCATCACCCTGCTGAGACACTACAAGTTTCGGAAGAACAGTAGGAATCATTTTCTTGACAAGTTCTTCTGTTGCAATACCAAGAACGGATTCTGTAAACTCTTTGACCATAATTGGACGGCTAGACAGCCTCACAGATAAATAATCAAATAGTTCATTTCGAACATGAACAACTTTTGAAAGGATTAGTTCAAATCCTCCTTTAAGATGAAAGTAGCAAGATTTCTTTATCAACTTTGATGCCATCAGTCTCACTGTCATGTGTGGATTATCAAGCTGATCAACCAACAATAATACAGAAAACAAGAACAATTGACTGTGAATGTCAACTGCAATCATTATTTCTGCTGTAGATTCCAAAAGAGTCTCAAAGATTTGGGGATCTTTAGTTTCTGAAAAGGCATGCTTCATTATGTTAAAAAACTCTTGTTCTTTACTTTTATTCGATGCGTCCTCAACAGGAAATAAGCAGCTCAAAAAAGAATCCTCAAGGAATGAACTAATCTGAGTGCAGAATGCATCCCTTACAGCCTTCTTCCCATTAAGGAGTAAATATTCCACACATTTAATCCATTCAAATCTAGACACAATCAGATTCCTTATGCTCCCATGTACAAATATTCGGCGAATATTTTTCACACAAGCAACTTGGACCTCCTGCGATGATTCATCATAAAGAAGTTTGAGAAACAGAGACTGCAGATGGGCAAAATCACAATCCAAACTCGCTTCTCTGTTGTGCATATCAGGTGGATATATCACTTTTGAACATGACTCAGTATTGAGTTGAACACTTTTGTCACACTCCGAACACCAGAATCCTTGCAGAAGATAATCCACTGTTTGGCTACATTTCTCATTATTCATATTTAAAACTAATTTGCACCGACTTCTATTCATACCATCTCCATCATTACAAGAACCAAACAGGCATGACAAAAAACCAAGAGAAGAGGGAATAATATTCTTAACCTTCTCACTTCTCTCTCCCCCCAAGAACCTGTAAGTGCGATAAAAATGTAATTTAAGGAACAGCAGAGTTAGTATAACATTATTACTTCTATAATCACATCATCAGGACTCTAGAACTTATTGTGCAAGTATAGGGCAAGCCAAAACTACAAAGGCATTGCAAAGCATTCCACTCCCAAATACCCCAAGTAGTTAAACAGAATACCATTCCAAATACAGTTTACATAAGACTGTAAGAGTTGCCAGTTTCCCTGCATATGGCCATCCCTGATAACCCATTTCTGTGATTATTTTTCAAGCAAGAAGAGAAGTTTCATAATTTTCTCTTTTTTCACCAATGAACATTAATTATAGAGTCCCATTTTCTATCTCCGGGCATTATCAATGTATTCATACATTTAAGAATTTTAATTACATATATTACTAATAATGTATGTGAAAATGCAAGACAAAATAAGTGAACTTATAGTGTTCGCTTACTCAACAAGCCTTCTTGATATATGTGGCAGCCAACCAACACCAGACCACATGACAATCATAGGCATAGAGATTATAGCTTCAATAATAACTTCTTCAAATTCATCATGAAGGCTCAAATCCAGGACTTCAAGCTGAGTTTCAGTACTTGTTATATTACCAAGTTTGCATGCAACTTGAACAGAGATGCATTTAAGTTTCCACAGAGGATGTGGGTCAGGAACTACACGAGGATAGGTCCACGGAAGCTTTAGGATGCATACAAGGTCTACAGCAACATTCTTATTTTTGAACCCCATACTCTCCATCATTAAGGGACCTGGATACAAACATAAAACTATTAACATTCACAATGATGGAATCACAACTTATGCCTGGAACTCCAGTATTTAACAGTCAAACCCCATAGAATGGGGTGTTAGTAAGAATACAGACAAAAGAAAATTCAGTGCAACAATAGCACACCATTTCCCAGCATCACTGAAAGAGAACTATCAAACACACACACACTGGAGTTCCATATGGGAGATCTCGGTCATTGGTGCATCTCTGACAACTAAGACTCATCTTCAGGGGAAATTTTAACCAAGAAATGAGATTAATATCCAATGTGAAATCATGCCTCTTTTCTGACTTCAGAATGGGTACCATTTATTAACCAAGAAGGTGCACAAAATGAGATGATCAGGCTTGGATACTCAGCATTTACCAAAAGACAACACCCAATGTACTTCGAGAAAAGATGAAAGAAAAGGAAGAAAGACTTCATCTGGAAGAAACATAGAACTCTCATAAAAGATTATCAATTATCTTGAAATAATTTAAGAACAAAAACTGAGGTAACACATCAATATGGCAAAAGCAAGACCCTTCTTGAGGACCCATCTACTTACTCTGCAAAAGCAGCATGCTGTTAATTCCTTCCAGGTAGATGGAAATATCAAGTGCAACTGAAATTCCTTGCTTTGCCTACATAATATAACTCTCATTTAGTAGTAGGTGAAAATGAGTACGCTAATGAAAAGTCCACAAATCTAAACCAACATACCTGCTGGAATACCCGTGGCATCCATGTGTACATCTGACGAAAGATGCTTAGTGACAGGTTGGTCTCTGGATAACTACAGAAGGCAATGCAAAGCATGCTAAGAGCTCTTAATGCGGCATCTGGTCTTAAAGAATCAGGATGGACACCAGGAGGTTCTAAAGATTCAACAAAAGAAAGTACCGATTTATGCATATAATCTGCATAATTCTCTCTTTCACAAGCAACTGTATGAGTACGCTTGTGCTCCCCCTGAAAATTAGAATGCAAACTCATAATATCTTCATCTACCCTTTGCCGTTTATTCTTGAAAGTGTCCAAATCGTCTATAGGCCTTTTTTCTCCAACCCTCAAGTTTTCATTTGATTTGTCACTTAGTGATGATAAACTCTGACAGTTACTGTTTGTAATTCTCCATCCAACAAGATTGGGACCAAGTATAGAGAGAGCTACTTGTAGGCAATCTATCAATGAGAAGCAGGGTTCTGGATAAGAAAGCACATAAAGGAGAGATTCTGGCCTCCAGATATTAGGAGAGCATATTTTTGCAATCCGTATGTATGCATTGCACAGCGCAACCTGAAATAGAAATTATTTTCAGGACCCTAGAACAAAGCAATCCCTCAGATCTGTTACCAATCCACAGGGCATGAATGGGTCAAAAGAATAAATAATTTTCTCAAAGACAGCAGACGAAACATGATTATTAACCTTAAGCTCCTGGCTTTTGGTTCTCCCCATTGAATGAGAAAAGACATCTACTAAATCGGCAGCTGTTAGCTCAACAACATCTTCAGGGCAATTACAGTGTAATGCATCAAGGCAACCACCCAAGGACGAATCATAAACGATGTTTCTGCAATGTAAGCCCAAGTGTTGGCATGCCAAGGTAAAATTAGAATAAATACTGGATGTGAGGATTTCATTTATAAGTCACATATACAACAAAATAAAATTCCCCAAAAATAACACTTATTATGCCACAAAGACCACTAATACATAATAATGACCAAACGCACTAATGACTCTTTGAACCATGTGCTACAGACCACATAAATGCCTGCAGGTTTGCCTATCTATTTATGATATCTGCCACAGAACATCATGCATTACCTGTCTTTACAAGTCTAAATTCACTTCTCTTCTGTTTCATGCATAATCAACTTGAAACCCAGCACCGTACAGAGTGTCCCTAAACATCAAGATTGTGTACAAACCCAACTCGGAGACAAGTGCTTCTCAATCATCGAGAATTTTAATGGAAAAGTTCAGCAGTAAACTCACAAGACCCTAAGAAACTCACAAGACCCTAAGAACTACACATGATGTTTCTAAATGCAAAAAAGAAGATGAACTAATGAGAGAGGTCTACAACACCGTGATGTGATTTAATGGGATAAAAGTTAATACTAATCAATTTGACCCAAAATAGTATCATAATTGTAACAAAATGAGAAACATTGCCTTGAAAGTTCATTCAACAGGGTGATTTTCACTTTGCACTCCAATAAAATTTTAATAGCAAACAATCAAAGTTTTGAGCATTCAAAGACAGACCTGAACACAGGAAACCCCTCTTTGTCCTCCCTTAAGATAGTTGATATCGACTGAATAATATTCTGGTGAGGAAGGATGTCATAATTTATCCCTGATCCAACGACACGTGCAAATTCAAAACATGCCTTGCATAAAATTCAAATAGTTAGAATTTTGCAGAACAAGGCTGCTTACATATCTGAAACTGAATCAGCTTTATAATATTTCTTTCATGTTGCACCAACACCATAAATTTGAATTCTATACTAAGAATGCCAGCATAAAGCAATCAATGCTCACCATCTGCAAATCAGCATCCCCATAACATAAGAGGGAACATGCGTCCAGAACAAAAGGCATATTAATGAGTCCTTCCACATACAGAGTTCCTTCGGTTAAGCATTTACCAAGAAGCTTTATCATCCAGGTTGCAAAAGGTTGCCATCTTGTTTTGCCCGTAAGGTTAATCAAGACACCAATCCCATCATCCGGTTTATTACTTGCCGGAAGATCCCCAAGATGATCAGGGTCATCAAAAATTCCATTGAAGGACTCACAAAAACACCTTAAAGTCAATTTCGTCAAATCCGTAATATTTGAAGCGTCTGCACAGACTGATGCCACACACAAAATATCTGAACAAAGACAAAGACATATGAGCTTTCTTGTGTGCATACAAAGGTCCAAATCCCAAACTACCCCATCTAATGGATCAGTACGAAAAACCAAAAAAAACTTGTTAAATACTCAAACTATAACATCTTGTTGAACAACATTGCGTTCTTACCTCGAACAACAAGCATGGAATCAATGAAAAATTGACGGTAGGCATCCCGTTCTCCAGTACGAAGTAGCGCTAAAAGTGGTCCGACAGTCTCAAATATTACTCCATGCCTAGAACTAAAACAACAGAAACTACTCTTCAGCATAAAATCACAAAGAAAAGCGATCTAAATAACCACAATCACATACTGTTCGCGCGGAATGAGCTCATTTTTCAATCCCCAAATCCGTTTTCGCAGTTTTCAATTTCCCAAATCGAAGCAAAAGAGGCTGAAAAGCAATTAAACATTGGTGAATGAAAATTGAAATCCTTCGCTTACCGGAACGAGGGCTCTGCGAAGAAAGGCAAGATGCGACCGAGCAGAGGAAGAATTGCGGTGGCCTTTCCATGATAGAAAACTCCGGGCAAATGCCTAGCAGTGATAACGATGAGCTTCAAAACAGCTATCACTTCTCGCTCGTTCGCTGCAAACAGTGAAAAGTTACACTCAAAACGCCGTCGCATTGTACTTTACTACAGAGAGAGAAGGTGGGAATAGGTACCTGGGGGAGATGGAACGACGGAGGCACGGAGGAGGTCAGGGAGGACGGCGCGGAATCGGATCACCAAGTCGTCGTCGTAACGGTTGCTAGGAGGAGTGGAGGAGGCCGCTATGCGCTCTCGGAGTTCGTGGACGAGGCTCGACAGGTTCGCCATTCCCATTCTCTCTCATGCCCTCTCTCTCTCTCTCTCTCTCTTCTTTCCCTCCTAATTTCGAAGTGAACTGCAAGAGTAAAGCCACCCGCTTCACTCTCGCTCTGTCAGAAATCAGCCGCCTCCCTTGCCATTGGACGGACCCATTTGTTTGTGTATCTGAGTTGGCCCAGACCAAACTGATGACATCATCTTTTTTTGTCACCCATGGATTAATTTTGGGGTAGATTAGGTCCAGGTTCGAGGCCTGGTGTGGGTGGGGTGGGGTGGGAAGGGAAAAAAAAAAAAAAAAAAAACCACTATTCCATCTTCCTATCAAAAAGAAAAGAAAAAAAAACCATTTACTTAGGATTGTTTTAATAAAAATATTTGTTTTTCCACGGATGTGTGGTTCGGTTCTGACAGGAATGCAACTTCGAATGTCTTTTGCGTGAAGAACTAGAAGGATTGGCTATGTAGGAAATTATGAAATTTTGACACAACAATCGTCATCATCTTAGCTTTTGTCTCCAACTGACTTTGTGTCAAAATTCATTTGGGAAGTTAGTTGTTTTGAACAAACAATATATTCAACACTAAAGGGGATGGGGATGGGGATGGGGATGGGTTTAGCCTTACAATGAGCTAGCAATAATGTGGTCTAAATTCACCTTTAGAGAGAAACGAACTTAAGACCTCTTCCTTACAAGTGAAGAGGAATACCGCTAGATTGTAGTACTAAGTGGCTTCAGGAAATCAGTTGTTAAAAATCATTCGAGTGTGCGGAAACGGGGTTTAGGCATGATTACATTGCCCCCAGTCGAAGTGTTTGAAGGACTTGGGCTGAGTTGCATGGAAAGTTGATTTTAAACTTCAGACGAGAAGTCCATGAGTCGAACTTGCGAGGTGTTGATCTGTACAGAGGCAAACCTGCCTTTACTTCCTGGTTGGGGAGTATGATCGTTGCTTTATTTTGGAGTTGATGTTTGTGCTTTTTCTAGGGGTGACTTGCCCCTAGTGAATTTCTTCCCATCAGACTTTGTCATTCCCGTCGGATCAGCCGTATCATTGTTGGAGTTACTGTCTCCACCAGAATGATGTTTGACTGAGTTAGTCAAACACTGCAAGATGTGAAAAGAAGAAGGGATGTGTAATCAGCATATATCCCTTTTGTAAGACGATAACAATTAGTCATATTGTGTTCTTAGTTGTTTCATGATAAAGGGATTTAAATTTTTGAAAGCAATAAGATATTGAAATCAAATAACTAAAGGTATTAGAAACCCTCCTTTTTTGTATTTGCTGGGAAAACACAGTCCTTGATCATGGACAGTAGTAGCAACAAATCCATACAAAAAGCATTGTTTGTGTGAGTTATCATAATTGGTAGTTGTTACAAATTGCAAGAGATTTGTCCTCTGGAGCATTAATCAAAGGTTCCATCTTTAGAATTTTTTTGCTTTCATCGTCGCTCGTGGCAGGGGTCTCTATCTAGGGGAATATGAGTTCATTCTCAATGAAAGCACCAATTGTTGGAATCAAAATCGCACACATCTGCAGACGAAGGCGAGATCTAGTTGGGAATCGCCCATGATCTCCAGCGAGGGAAGAAAAAGGTTGATTAAGGGTGTGATTGAATCTTGATCGGACTGCCCACATATCTCCAGGAAAGAGAATGAAGTCGCTAGTGCAGTTCTAAGAAAGAATGGTATGATGTGCAATACATCCTAAACCATCCTTGATGAATAACCTATGTCGGGGCGTTAAGGAGATGATGATGTGTCTACTCATAAACAGCAACGTATATGAGAGATAGTATGTGTATGGTAGTCTTGCAGATCGTCTTATAGACAATAATATACTAGAAGGAGATGTGAGTGTGACTGCAGCTATGTTTGATTAGAGATATAAATGCCCAAGCTAGGGTATTTGTAGAGATCTTCAGAGTCCTTGTAGAGAAAGTAATCCTAATTAAATTGGGAGACTATTTAGGAAGAAATCTAGGATGAGATATCCAATCCTCCTAGGATTGTGATTATGTTGTCTAATCCCCAAGATATCCTAATTTAACTTTAATTAGGATTTCCTTACTTGGGAGACAAGTAATACAGGTTGCAGAATGACTGTTTGTGTCACGTCTCAATCCCGACATACGTCCATAATTGACATGTGACGTCACCAAAAATCCTTATCTATCATACCCCATCCTCCGGAATATGGGCAAAGCACAACTCAATAATCGAATCACATAGTAATTTTTTGTATACTTTATGGCTAGATCTAACCTCCCCGTTAAACTGCCTACGTACCCTAAACACGGATCAAGCCATTCGTAGTTCATCATGCACAATAATTGACATATACCACAATCCGATTAAGTCGAAAGGCATAACATTTCTCAATCAATCAATAGAACTTGACAAGCATGAAATTACTAGACTCAGGGTTACATAACAAACCCACCTGAAAATCATGATTTCCCCTTCATCTATATATAGGTCATTATGTCGCAACATGATACCGCAATTCACAACATATATCATTTCAAAAAACCAACGAAGCACAATACCATTCTCTAGCCACATTTATCAACAAGTCTAATCATAACAATAACAACGATATCCAACATAACAATCCTACATGACGATTAACATTTCCACTTCATCTATCACATAATTCATCACGTTTCCCACATAAAATCGCATTTCATAGCATGTAACATATTTAAGAATTAACAAAGTACATATTTTTCTCTAGAAATATTAATCAACTAAAATACTTATAATAACCACACTCATATCCAACGTCATTCCACAATCCCGTCAATTAATCAATTCATGAATCTAAGATGAACGATCTTAGCATTTAATTACGTTAATCAAACAGTGCGATAACATAACATTTCACGAATTAATCAAGAAACTCTATATAATTCCCCACTTGGATTATGAGTAATAAACATGGTAATTCTAATTTATTTCACAATATCTATTGTGGGTAATTCTCATCTACTCAATTTAGGATTCTAAGATCACCTTATGGAATGAACAAGAGCAAAGATTCCGGACCACTCAACGGAATCCAACAACATCGGGTTCCGGACCACTCAACAGAACCAAAATATTAAGCGGTTTCTCATAATCTACCCAGACCTGTTATATGTAAAGTCAATGCCTACATTATGGGATTGGTGCTCTGGCAAATCAGGCACTCAGATAAGCTGCGAGGCTCGGGTGAGTGACAATAATATAAGCATGTGATACAATAATAAAACTAGCCATCAATCACAATTTATAAACCTTGAATATAAATCATTCATAAGAAATCAATACCAAACCTTTGAAAACTCTGAAGAAGTCACTTAGACATTCAACGGTTCGTCTGAAACAAATCACAATATCTCACAACCATAATCTCATACAACACAATGAAAAGTAGGGCTAGAAGGATGCAGTTTGACCGAAGCCTACATAAGTAACCAAACAGGAAATGGTGCCCCTAAAGCGGATTAACCAAGCAGAGTCACCCCTAAGAAAGTAACCAAGCAGGCAGTGACCCCCCAATGCGGATTAACCAAGCAGAGTCACTCCTACAGTTGTTAGGAAGTGATCACCCAATGCGGATTAACCAAGCACGATCACTCTGAAGCATACATGGCTATAAGGATCGCCCAACGCGGATTAACCAAGCGCGATCCATGCATATAGTATTGTCCCCCAATGCGGACTAACCAAGTAAGACCACTAGTGACCCCCCAATGCGGATTAACCAAGCAGGGTCCTAGTCCACTACTAGCCCTCACCTTTCATCAAATCAAGCCAATCATATAAAACAAACCATATTTCCAATATGCACATCAAATCTCACTTCATAAACTACCTCGATGGCTAAATATAAAAATTAACAATTTATAGGAAACATAATTATAAAACCAATTCATATTCACATATATTAAAGTCACTCACATTTCATCATATCATATCATACCATCCATGCAAATCAACCACCTTTCAATATGCACGTCAAAACACATATCACGATCATCATCAGTACACAAGCCAAATCATGTTTAATAAACATAGGTCTATGGCTAAATATATACATACATATATATATACATACATATATATATATATATATATAAAATTACATTTCAATAGAACTCACATTATAAAACCAAGTCATATTCACAAATGATACCAATATAAGAAATTAAGGTAATAACCATATCACATATGTTCAAGTCACTCTCTAACCAATGTAGGCCACTAGACTTCACTTAAGTCTCCCATGGTACTAATTTTATTATTTAGAATGTAATGAGACATGTTGACAACAATTCAACTCTCGGTCAACGATAAGGTCCACCACTCTACGTAATTCGATCTTGAAGATCCACACATCGGATTTATGATCCATAACTTCCCAAAGTCCACATTATGTTTCTAGAATAACATACTAAAATTTCATTATGATCCAACGGTCGGATTGTCGTCAATCACACAAACAAGTGGCGGTCCAAATTGATCACCATACCAAACAATTGAATTTTGGGAAACCGAGCTAGACATAGGTTCACAAGGTCACTAAAAGGTATTTAGAACCTAGACAACACTCGTGAACGATCCCCACGCACCGCCACACGCGGTGGAAGTCAAGATGGATGGTTTAGAAACCCCAAATTTTCAACATTAACTAGATGAACTCAAATTTATGTGGTAACTAGAGCTCAACAAGGGAAACACTTTTCACAACTAGACCGACGATAAATTCTAACCGGAAACCGTCCAAATTCACCGGAGAAAACCAGATTTCTAGGGTTCTAAACCCCTAACTCTAAAATGAATACGAAAGCATCTCACTCGAAGGAAAGGGTTGCCGGAATCACCGGAAAAATGATAAAACCGCCGAAAAAGTCGTGGGCTTTGTGGCTTCGAACTGCAAAGATGGAAAAGAAATTGGAAAATCTAACACCACAGAGATGTAGGGTTCATCAAAAGCTTTCCATGGACACCAAAATCACTCAAAATGGAGCTCGGATGAAGAAGATACAAGTGGGTCAAGTTTGTGGGTTAATGGGTCCAAATCTCCCCTAAAACGGGTTAGTAACAGCTACCCCCTTCCATTTTCAGAAACCTCTCCCTTTTTTGGAGGTTTCACTCCCATTTATAGCATTTTGGTAAAATTACCAAAATGCCACCAACTTCAAACAACTCTAACTTCTCAGTTCTGACTCTGAAATAAGATCTGTTTATGTCTACGCACTCATGGGATCGAACTATACCTAACCAATTCAAGAGTTGACCGAAAAGGTCGAGAAAATTAGAAATAACTAAAGTACCCCTCACTTCATTTTTCTCAAATTTGAAGAAATAAAGAACTAGTTCCAATCAAATCTTCGAAATACGTCAAGAATAAAATAAAATAATAATTTTGGAGATGGGATATCACAGTTTGACTACACATCTGACTAGCGAGCCCATTGGAATAGCTTACTTTGATTCTGACTAGGAAACTTGACCAGTCCTTGTTGCCACCAAAGGTGCCACGTGTCATGCGCCCAAAAAATCAATGTCCCACAAAAGTGAAATTCACTTGTTTCCCTTTATTTATTTATTTTTGGACAAGAGCTTAACTTCATTAAACTTAAAACAAAATACAAAGCCAACCAACGGCTCACGACAAACAATGGGATGCCCAATTCCACAACAATAGAGGCCTAAAAATGAAAGCACAAGACAAAAAGAAATAAAATCTAATATCCATCACATAAACGCAGCCCTCCACAACCGAACTTTTGCCAGCAATCATCGGAATGACAACCATATAGAAACTGGAATGAAGTAGGATCCACAAAGAGTCAATCACATCAAAATTAACCAAAAAAAAGAGACAAAATCCACATAAAAAATCAGATCTCAGAGCTGTGCAATCTACTGAGCCATTTAGATCCGTACCACCAACCACCACATCTGCAAGAAACGAACCAAGTTGATATAACACGAGGTGGGGAGGGCCAAGGGGATGTGTAAAACACCCTTACTACGACGGAGGCTGCATAACACTTCACCCAAAATTTTATACATGCTGGTAAAGTAGAGGGCAGTAGGGTAGAGGTCCACATCGGAAATCGAGTCCAAAACTCAAAGATCTGATTTTTGGTAGGGATTAAGGGGAGGTGAAGCAGGGTCGGAGATGGAGATGTAGGCAAGGGAAAAAAGGGAAGAAGGGAGTGAAGGAATAGGGCTACGTAAATGGAATTAGAAAAAGAAGCATGGGCAACAAGGAGGATGAGAAGAGAGGGAAGACAACAAAACAAGAAAGCCATAGATAAAACCGGTAAGATGTGTCGGGAAAACAACAAGGACGACCGAGACTGTGCCCTCGAAATCGACAACCATAGGTTGCAGAGGGTAGGACACAGACCAAAGATTAAGGAGGAGAAGAAAAAAGAGAAGGTAAGGGGTTGCCTGCCGACCCTAACCAAAGGAATGAGTTAGCAACAAAAAGCAACGAAAAAGGGCTTCTGCTGGAGAGAAAAGAGAGGGAGTGGCTAGGTCAGAAGGGCTTCTGTTTATCCACCATCCACACCCAACTCTCAACTCACTCGCTTGTTTGCCTCAATTAGAGAAATGACACATAAGATGATCACTTGATAGCACAAGTAGAATAACTCATAATTTTAGTTATTAGACTGCCAAAATATAATAATTTTCTCAACTGACCATTCGCATACGATGTTTTAATAAAGTGAAAATTCACTCGTTTGCCTTTATTAAATATATGATACAGAAGATAATCACTGGAGTAGCACAAGTATAATAACTCGAATTTTAGGCATTAGATTGCCAAAGTAGTCGACATGTAAAATTTCAATGTAGTTATGGGAGCCCACCTGTTTATATGAGTTCGAATTCTCTTTTTAAGTTAGTGTAATTTCGAATACCATTTTGTCATGAAGAAAGCTATCATTAGCACTCCTACAAACTCGTTATGCACATCATGTGCACTTTCTCTCATATTCTTTGTAAGGGAAAATAGCACGGTGACCTTTCCATAGTCCCAATAACAATTTCTACTTTGTTAAGTGCAAAAGACATTCTCCAATATTGGTTGGTAATTTTTGAGTTTTACAAATAGATAAGCAGTTACACAAAAATGCATAGACATATATAGAGATGAAGATATTGAGAGAGATTGAGAGTAATAACAACTTCACGAAAAATCTACAAAATCAGAGAGAAAAAATGTACACCATTGTTTGCCCTATTTCAAGACTGAAGGCAACCAACTTAGAGAGATCAACCCATCAAACCATATCAGATGGATATCATCCTTTCCTTTTCTCTACACGATCCTACTGCATCCGGACGATGTTGATTCCCTGTGCTTCTCTACAACTTGCCTGCCAGGGGATGTAGAAGTTTCTATGTGCTTCTTGGCAAGATCGGATAAGTTTTCATGGACTACCTTGTTCCCTCAATCGGCTTTAGTTGCCGTGTAATTAGAGGGAACCTGGCCAGTCATGCCAGGCATGGCTCGGACGTTTATGTCAATAGGCAGAAGGCGGAACTGGATGTCAAGCTCCTGGAATATGCGTACCATCTCTTCGACCAAATAGCCTCTCCTTACAAACCTTTCTCCTATGTCCTGGAAGTTCATTCTATGTTGAGGCCAAATTGCAAACCGTACCCTATTTAGTTCTTCTACATCCTTCGTTATAATCATTGGTGCCGGATACCAGTGCTCCTTCTTGTTCTCGATGTAACTGTAATCGCAAACCACATGAAATAATTTATTAACCAGACATTACAGTTAAGAGTTGAGGTTTTCCGCGTTTTCACAAAACTAATACAATATTTTAAAGTACGAAGTGACAAAAGATAGTTCTGCATACCTGATTATTCTTTGCCTCATTAAAACAATCCTATCTGGCGGAGTTGATACATGGATGCAGAACTCAATAGCATCTCCCGTGTCAGGACTACGATAGTAGTTAAGGATGGGCAAAGTCGCGAGGATGCTGTTTGGGTACACGATTTTTGTGTTGTCATACCTTAGGAAAACTGTACTCAAGATGTTCATTTCTTCAACTACCATCTGAGAGTGATTGATAAACAAATTAGGCACCACACATTGAAAAGAAAAAAACTTTCGCATGTGACACAGATAAAGATGGAAATGTACCTGAACTCCGTCTATTTCGCAACGATCTCCCACGTCAAATGGATGCATCACGAATAAAAATATGATTGCTTCAAATATCGTCTTGCAGGTGTTACCAAAGACAAATGCCACAACCACAAGCTGAGAACTCACAAACAAGAGAAATTTGCTGGTGGCAGTTCCTAGAACCAGAAGCCATATAACAATTATAACAATGGCAACGATTATGTTCACCACGCGATGAAGTGTATTCACAGCTGTTTTGGTATCATTCAGCGTCAGAGCAAGTGCTCTCCGTTCTCTGAAGGCACTGACCTGGAACCAATTCAGCACGTTACTTATCAAGCTAATAAAAACAACGTTCAGGCATTGTTTTGATGACGTAGGGGGTTTAAAACACTCTAACATGAAACTCTCCTGCAGAGTTGCATTCACGTTCATACATGAGGGTTTGTTTCAGAGTCCAACACTTAAAATATGAAACTTACCACCCAATTTTTCAAGGCAGATTTGCTGATTCTCTTGTGCTCAGATGCCCCTTCAAAAAGACTCATGGTCTTCACAGCCTCGTCTTCTTCCATGAAACGCATCAAGTCCTCCAGGTATATGAACCTAAAAGAAAAATGGGTAAGTCAGATTCGATCAAAAGATAGAATGTAAGGGAGACAAAATCAAGAGAAAAAAATGAAAAAATTAAAATGAAGATTACCCACTTTTATGTTTCTAAGGGTTTCTATGGTCTTCAAAACAATAAGTGCAGAAAACATTGGCATATAGCATTTTTTCACTCTAGGTTGTATTCTTATTTTTTATTTGCTCTCTTACTTCCTCGTTGACTTAGAAGTGTCTCCTCGTCAACTTAGGAGCATCTCCTCGTTTCCCCTTTTAATTTCTCAAACATATTATCATCCCTTGATATGCGTGGCACAAAACTGGCACCTTAACACAGATGGCATACTTGCACAAATCATGTGATATGAAGTAGTCAACTAACAGTAACATGGCATAAATCTATATCTTCCATACAACAGATGGCATTGAATATCTAAAATTAGAAACAAAAACAGCTAATAGAATTCACTAGGCATTCCAAATGTGAAGAAGACAATAACTGATGGAAAATCAGGACCACACAAGAAACAAATAGGAACCGAAGTTTAGAAACACCATAACAAGGTAAAACCAAGTAACAGTCCAGATCAACTCGTAAACCCGTGTGATTATAACGAAGATGGGAACATTCGAAACTTACTTGGAACCAGGCCTAGCCACATTCTGGAATATCTTTCTAGCAGCAGCCTTTGCCTCAACCTCACTCCTGATCTGAGTATCAGCTTCATCCTCACCAGTGGCATCCAGAATCTGCTCATCAAGCGTCTTAAGATGCCCTTTTCTAACAATATTCATCAGCCTCTTCATATTCCAAGCAGACACATTCTTGGGATTGAGCTTATGCAAGTGATCAATCGTGATCCCGGTCTCCTCTGCCTTCTTGGAAAGTGGCTTAGAATACTTGGTGCACTTCCCAATAAGCCCGCTACCCGCAATCACCCTCCCACTCCTTATCGAACCACTCCCAATCACCCTCCCAATCCTAGCGGACGGGAATACATTTGCCTTGAGGTCCGGAGGCATAGTAGCCCCGGCATTCTGCAGCTTCCTGACCTCATCCGCCAGCCTATCGTCCTCCTCCTCCGCATTCTGCATCTCAATCAAAGGCCGCCCGGACAGCGTCTCAATCACATACTGATTAAAAAGCGAGTCCTGAATCCGATCAAAATACGACCTCACATGGAATGACGAAGCCAGCACCTTCACAATCAACGTCTTCACCAGCCACAGCAACACTCCAATCAAGAGACAGAACAAGATTTTCGTCACATAAGCGACCACCTCGCTATTGGTCTCCCTTTCCACCTTCTTATCAAACATGAAATGCCATGCTATCAGAACCAGGCCGAGCCAGAGGCAGTTCTGCACCGCCTTTCGGACTCCATACACGAAATACAAAACTCTCTTCCGCAGAAGGAAATTCCTCTCCACAAAAAACACTATGATCCTAATCCCCCAACCCGAAACCAATCTCCCGCATATCAGAACCAAAATCAAGACCTCCCACTTCCACAATTTCAGTTTCCACAAGCTCTTCTCCCTCAGAACTGGAATCGTCAGCGTGCTAACCACCGCCCCAATGATCAAAACCAAGCTTACCCACTGAAGCAGCGTCAATGCGTTGAAGTTCGCCCTCTTGTACTCGTGCGGCACGTCCTCCTCCAGAAACGGGTCGTCGTCGTCGTCGTCGCCGCCGCGGCTCAGCAACCCGGACCTCATCTGACCCGATTTCGGGATCTGTCCCGACCGCGGGATCCGGCCCGACTTGAAATCGGGCTCCTCGGGCGGGTCGATTAGTCTGGACTTGGTCTTTATTCTCAACAAATCGGACTTGTTCGAGAACGAAGGCTCTCGGCGGAATGAGGCGTTGGAAGTGCACCGGACGACGTCGTCCTGTCCGTTGCTCAACCTCTCGCTGCGGCGCCACTCCTCGTCGGGGGATTCCCTGTATCGCCTCCGAACCGACTCGGTTTGCGGCGTATCGGTGTGGTCCGACGCCGGCGATTGGAACGAGACTTTGAGCTCCTTCGAGTTGCGCGAGTTCCTCGGACTCGGCGACTCGGCGAGGGGCGGCAAATCGCGTTCGTTCTGCAGCTCCTCCATCTCCAAATCCATATCCAGCGTCATGTCGCCGGAGGCTCGCTGCTTATGCAGGAACTGCCCAATCAGCTTCGACGGTGGATCCTCCCCAGTCCCCTCCTCCGTCTTCCCACGCTGCACGAAATCAAAATTCTCGGCATTGCCCTTGCCGTCCCCGTGCCAGAAATCGATGCTGGACTGCCGCCAAATCTTCCTGCCATTTTTGGCAGGGTCGCTGGTGCTTGTGGACGAATCTGCGCCTTCGTCGATTTTGACGATAACTTCCCGGCGGTCGGCCAAATCGACGTCCGTCATCGGCTGGGTGTGGTGGCGCTGGTCGTGATCCAGAAGAATGGGGAGCTCCTCGTGGCTGACGTCTTCTGCTCCGGCGGAGATCTTCCTCATATGCTTGGCAGAGCCATGGGATTTAAACGGTTTCTTGATGGAGAACTCCATTACACGACGACACCACTGGTAATTATAATAAACAATCTCCTCCCAATCAAAAATTAATCTTTTTTTTTTCTGTTAAATTTAAATAAAAAACAATAAAAATAAACTACAAGTGAGAGAAAAGTTGAAAAAAAAAATACAGAGAGGTTGGAAAATTTGGTTTTGATTAGGGTTCGCGGGGATTAGGTTGACGCGTGTCCTCGTATAACAAGACAAAGCTTCTTTTTTATGAGTTGATTGAACACACGAGAGAGAGAGAGAGAGAGCAGAGGAGAGAGAAAGTGCAGAGGCGGGGGGAAAGAGAGAGTGAAGCTGCAACAGAGAAACGTGTGACGGCGACGAGTACGGCGTTATTGAAAGGAGAGGGACAGGGATGGGTTGGGCCGCTTTGCATGGGGAAGGTTTTGAAATATGCATCGTTTAGTCCAGCTACGTAGAAATGACACTAAGTTGGGTGTTTAATTACTATTATGCCATTTGTGTTTTTCTTTGGTGAAAAATCCAAAAAAAAAGAAAGAAAGGAAATTACCTTTCATGAGAATACAAAAAGATTTACCATTACTAAAAAATTGAATTACCATAGGCTAGTAGTAATTTTAGCACTCATCCAACACGTAACAAATGATTGCAAGTTGCTTTTTATCATAGTAGTGGAAAGATGTTCATCTCTTGTATGACGACATAGGTTCAAACTTCATCGATAGCTAATCTTACATCTAATTCAACAAATCTATCGTTTTGGCAAAAAAAAAAAAGAGAAAAAAAAAGTAACAAATGATTCAAAAATCGTTATTCATATCATAAAACATGTAAAGAAATTGATCATAGAAATCTCCTAAAAAAAGCTTGGCAGAGAACTTGGTGTAATCGAGTAAACATTAAAGCTCATGTGTTGAATTTTTCTTGTAACAAAGAAAAAAAAAATCTCAAAATAATGGTATTGGTGCAAGAAAACCTACCGTTTTTTGTTGAATACAACTTAATAAAAGGGAAGTAAGGTATTAAAATGACCGAAATAACCCTAAACAAAAGTCATGTGTGAGGCACATGACTTATATTGGATGGAAAACTGAACAGAATTAGGGACATATGACAAATTAATGATTTCAAAAAGTTGGTATGATAAATTGCTTAAAATTTTAGTTTATATGGCAAATTGAAAAATGCGTACAAGTTCATATAACATTTCAAAATTTTTTCCATACAATTATATATATTTTTTAAGTATAAGTAGATATTTATTTGTATGTTATGTAATAAATTTAATTAAAATTAGAAAAACCGCCCAGCCTAGGATATCAGGCATTAAACCCTTAAAATTTTCTTTCATCATCACATTGAGTGGCATCACCGTTTGGTAAACATTCGCAGGAGCTACTACATAAAAAAATTTATTCATATTTTTCAAAAGTTTGTTTGTACAAATGAATCATGATAAAAATAAATAAATAAAAAAACCAGCTACTTTTATTATATTTCTTGTAAGATTTTGTAAATTTGGGTCGACACGCTACGCGAGCTTGAAGGGTAAAATGATAATTTTGCAGCGCACTGCCTCGACCTTGGCGCGCTTGCTTCTCTTCTCCCAGTCACGTGGCGCCGTTCCATTCAGACCCCACAAAAAGCCCGCGAAATCTTTTCAAACGACACGTCGGTAACGCACTCGAACCCGCATCAGCACAACACGCCCATACAATCAACGATACGTGGCACGCATCCAACGGACTGTTTCTTAGTCATCAAACACTCAAAGTAACAGTACAACTTTGCAACCATACGACAGCAATATACGCGCTACGTGTCTCGGACACTGAGTCTACGGCAATGTTTGGTAATTAATAATTTAATTGTATTGTAAACGACATGGGCCGGAAATGGTGGAGGTAACAAAACGCCGAAAGGGAATGTCGTTGGGAGGAAATATCGATTGATTTAGTAAGTATGAACGGATGGTATATTTTCGTTGCTTGCGAAACCAAAACCAACCAAAAGAAGGGTGGTCACTATCTACAGCTGCATGCTTTGCGTGACACAATTGGTGCTTAGGTGTTTGCCTATGTTGGGTTGGAATCTGGATACAAGAATTAGTTCCAACTTATCACCCAATTAGATTAGACTTGTAGTCGTTATCCGGAGAAAAATTGGTAAAGTGGCGTGATTCTTGTCGCTAGGCAGTGTTCTTAGTTTATGTTTGATTTGACTTTTAGTTTTTGTGTGCTGATTTATGCAACAAAACAATGATAATAGCGTGCATAGTTTAGTTAAAAGATGGAATGTGTTCAAACTTGATGAATAATAATGCACATAGAAAAGATCTCACACCCTAAGCCTCCGACCTATGACTTTTGGCTTTTGAGTTGGCGGCAATCCTACCGTTCCTTCCCCCTTGTTTTTCTCTCATTTCTTGTTTTCCAAGTTTCATTTGGCTTGCAATGGAAGCGTTGTGGTACGTTGTTTTTTGTTCTTTGGTCTTAGGACTATGGCTTTTATTTTGGTGGGTCGATTTGTTTCAATCATAGGCTGTCTTCTTTGTAATAATATCACAATTTGTTGTGTTTTATAGTCTCGCTAGAGCCGATGGATATTTATCTTGTTATGCTGATTTGCATCCGATATGTATTAATGACCAATGTTATTTTAGTGTTTTTTTTTTAGTCAAAGTTATTTTAGTGTTTGAACTTGATATTTTATCTCTTGTTGGTTGCGATTCTCTTCAAATCATGCCGATTTTGCTTTATGTTTGTCTTAGAAGCTTACTGATCACTTGAGAAAGTGTATCCATATTTAACGTCATATTTGTTCTTCAATGCATGCCTCTTCCAGTTGGGTTGAAGAACCTGTTATCTTCTAATGGTGGGTTTATTGCACCGGACGATCTTGGACTGCACTAGATTTATGGACTAAGCTGGACTGGCTTAGACTACAATAAGCTGGACTGATTTAGTGAAGCGTTTAGTGCAGTGTCGGACTAAAAAACAGAATAATAAAAATAACAAAAAAATAATCTTTATTTTTCTTTCCATTTTTTGGAACTCTCTATCTGTCTTTTTTTACCCTTTCTTTTTTCTTATTATTCCCCTAAGTTAGTCAAAGTGCACAAATTGATAAGCACAAAATGAAGACATGCCTCACTTTCAGTTCTCAATTCCTTATTTTTTTTTCTTCCCAAATTTCCAATTTCCACCAAAAACCCAAATGACTGCTCCTTCCAATTTCGTCGGCGGCCATGGTGAGTTTTCCCATCCGACAACCTATCTCTTTTCCTTTGTTTTCCCGTCTAAATCCATCTCGCCAAATCCCTCTCTCTCCTAATTTCGTCGGCGGCCATGGCGAGTTTTCTTGTCTGGGTGGTTCTATTTTAGGGGGTTATGGGTCGTAATCAGATTCTGGGTGGTTCTGCACTCCCTCGCGATGCAAGCATGTGGTGGTGGGTCGAGGGGTTCTAGGAAGACAAGAGGCAATGACATAGTCATAACTAATACTAAGGTTTCAGTCATGACTAGCTAGTGACGCCTAGGGAAGTTCGGAGTTGAGGCGAGTTCGACCTAGCGACATTTAAGTTAGTCCTTTGCTACGCCAAACACAAGATTACACAGATTGTTAGTCCAGTATTGTCCAGTGAATACTAACGATATCAAACAAACGTCCCCTAAAGTTGTATTGCTTGAGTTTTGCATTATCTTCTTTTTGTCTCAATAATATTGTATTTAATTTAAATACAATAAAATAAAATAATAGAGTTTAGACCCTGGTGTATAATGTCTCATGTAAGGATCCTCTTCGGATTCCTTCCACCTAATCCTTCTCATCGAACAATTCGAAACCTTGAAATTTGATCAAACGGCTAAAGTTATTATAACTTTTAGAGTGAGCCCGTATTTATAGTCGTTTGATCAAATTTTAAAAATCCAGATTGTTTGATAAGGAGAATTAGGTGGAAAGGATTCAGAGAGGATCCCTTTCCTAATGTCTCATCATAAAACTATCACACTCAGCACATAGAATTAATTATTCTCTAACAAAATATCTATTTTATTCCGTTGAAAAGATTTTTTTGTTTTTTGTTTTGTTTTTTTTTTTTAAGAGAGACAATCGGTGGTAAGTTATGATACTTCATTTCTTTCGGGTTTGGAAAGGTTATGGGGAATTTCACCCTACCTATAATCACAATCAAACAAATTCATCAGCTTTGAACATCGAACCCGAAACCTCCCACATTATTTTTATTTATTGGGAGGAATGTTAATTTTGACGTCATATGGAAGCAAAGAAGGTGGAGAACCAAATAGTCTCTCTTCTCAGTTCCCAACTGTAAGCACTAGCATGCACTTGACACATAAGTACAAATAGACAGCCTCTCAAATCCAGGTTGTTAAATCTACCTTTCCAATTTTAAATTCTAATCAGCTCCGAGAATTGTCGTTTATGAAAAACATCCACTTTGCTTATTTGTGATAGTGAAAGAGAAACGATAAATAAATGGTTGGACATATTAAAATAGCACTGTGCAAAAGCGGTCCTAATAAATATTTTATATTAAGGGAAATATAAGTTCGATTAAATCACACAATGAGTAATTTAATTTAGTATCGTATTCGTCGTTTTGATGTATTTTTTGATCTAAGATCAAAATACGACACTACGTCATGTTGTACTTCGGCTGCATGAGAATAGAATTCGGTTGTCATCATTGTGTGATAGAATGTATATATATAAATAATACACACACACATATATATATACAATTCGGTTGTCATCATTGTGTGATAGAATATATATAGGCCTTTTAAGAAACGCGATTTCTATTTACTTTTTTTAAATGAAGATTAGTTGTAAGATCTATTTTACATTGAATTTTAACGACTCAAACCGTTTATTTTGTAAGTTTTGATTTGTAGATTATCTATGCAAAAATTCAATTCAATCTAAAACTATTTGACCATTTAATTATCATGATAAAATTTTAATGTTTCTTAACACATAGTGTTTGTCAATTTCGAACTCAATTAGATGCCTCAAATATTTTCAATTTTGTTAATATTTTGTAAGGATGATTTATGAAGTGCAACTTGAAAAATAGACGGTTCAGGTAAATTCGATGTGGCGTGAACCCCACTATTGATCTCCATTTAAAAAAAAAAACACAAAATAGGAATCTATTCTGTTAAAAATCTGTATATATATATATGTGTGTGTGTGTGTGTGTTGGGGTCCTAATAACTAATTTAAGACCAAATTAAAAAAGAATGATTTCAAATATTGATGTGAATATTCATAAAAGCTATTTTTTTTTCCTAGTCCAAATCCAGAACTTCCTATTTGATTACTCTTTGAAAAGAGGATCGTGAAGGCAAAAAGGTATCATGGAGTGCCCCACTGCCATATGTTAAGCTCCACTATATTCCATTCCACATATGTCTAGCATCATCTTTTCCTCCTTTCTAAATCATAGGCTACTGTGCCGCCGTGAACGTCGGCTAATTGACCTGAGCAGATGTACTTTCCTTATGCTTGGAGTCCGATATCTATTTGTGCAGTTCACATTATATTAAAATACAATTTTATTGGTATCAGAAATTTAAGAAAAAAAATACAGGTTACTCTCTTCGCCCATTGTATGAATTATTAATAAAATTTAGGTTTTTTTTAGCTAAAAGGTGTTTGAGATTGACATAACTCTTCATTTGATCCTTGAGATGTGGAAATCATAGAAGTAGTCTCAGAGACCACTTTTATTGATTTCAAATTTGAGGGACCAAGTAAGGAATTATTAATAAAATGTAGATTTTTTAGATAATAAGTGTCTGAGATTGACATAACTCCTCACCTTGGTGCTTGAGATGTGAGATGTGAAACCAATAGAAGTAGTCTTTGAGTTTGTCTACCATAAATCATTTTGGGCATTCCGTGAGAAATTCTGTTAAATGAGGACCAAAATGACAAAAATACTTTTAATTTAGTAAACAATAGGCCAAAATAATTCAACAAGAATTGAGGGTATTTTTGTAATTTTATCTTTATTTAATAGAGATTTTTCACAAAAGAATCAAAATGATTAATGATGGACAAACTTAGGACTACTTCTATCGATTTCAAATTTGATGGACCAAGTAAGGAGTTTATACCAATTTTAGGGACTATTTAAACGAAAAAGCCCACAATTATTAATATATCAATCCTCTAATTTGACCACAAAAGAAAAAGAATGCTGATCTGATTAAGAGAAATGAAAATTAATACTTTGGAGCCTTAGCTTAAATCTAGCTTCAGGGAGATTGACCTGTAAATTGGGCAGACTTTGGCACCCAGGCCCATTTCACAATCTGTATGAATTACTGAACCGAAAAAGGCCCGTTTAGACCATTTCTGTTAGAATTATATATGCTAGTAAGCTCTTTTGCTAGAAGTATTTTTATTATAAAACCATGTAAGGTTTCGTTACACATCCTAGTGTCTCCTAAACTTATAGTGCTTTCCTGCAGAGGCACGTGCTTCCCCAAAAAGCACTTCTACCCAAATACGAGTAAAAATTGAAAAGAATGATAGAATAATATTAGTAAGATACTATCATTGTTGTTCACTCTGCATCGAAAGAAATATAAGCAGCCAATTACAAACATCATTAATCGATGAAAGAAAAACTCACGACAACATTGTCATTGTTAAACATCAGGATACTTGCAAAGTTACAATGCTCATCCAAACCATCACCATTACATTCTGAACTCTTGTTACGATATGAAAACGCAAAATAAATAAATAAATAAAAAGGCGGGTGGTCGGTCAAAATAATGGCTCTTCAGACAAAGGAAAAGAGGATGTACTACTGTACATGGTATGTGAAAAATAGTTGGGGAATTCCCCGCACTATAATTCCTTTTGATCAAGCAATAAACATCTGCTTGCCTTGGTTAGTGGTGACCCCGTCGCAGGATGGACAGTAATCCTCCCGATGATTTGTGTCGTTCCTCTCCATCACCAACCTGTTCCAAAAAGTTAGTTTAGTCCGTTAATTTGCTCGTATTATTAATGACATACGTGCTTTGTCAAGTAACTGCAACCAGAATTTATACCTCTTTGGCTAATGCCTGCAAAATTTCTATGATTTCCAAGAAATCAGGTCTTGATTTTGGATCTTGTTGCCAGCATTTCTCGAGCAGCTCAGCAAGCTTGGGAGGAGTGTTCTTTGGGATGGTCGGCCGTAAGCCCTGGAAAGATGGTAAGCAAACTTATACACGGTCCATCGTTTGGATTCAAGATGTATCACTCAATGATTTTTCATTTTTCTCCCTAGGAAACAAAATTGTTGAATGATGATGTACCTTTTGAACAACTCCAACGGCTGCTTGTAACGGGGTCAAGTATTCATATGGAAGCTGTCGATGAAACAGAAGAAATCTTAAAACAGTAGCAATGGTGGGCAAAAACATGATAAAAATAAAATTCCCATCGCCAAGCATACCTTTCCGGTCAGCAACTCCCATAACACAACTCCAAAGCTAAAAACATCAGCCTTGTGATCATATGGCTTGTGTTCTATAACCTTCAATGCAAAAGAACTGTTGTAAGGAAATGACAAGATGAAAGACCAATTAGAATTCATGTAATAGGAAGGACATGGACAGAGATTCATGACGGAAATTAGGTAGCGAATAACCATTTTCTTAAATGTTGCTTTCACTTTCAAGCACACTTCTAAAACAAAAAATTGAAAATAATAATAATAATATTATTATGTTATAGTAAATGTGAGAATTAGGAAGGACATTTGGAGCTGCAAAGAGAGCTGTGACCATGTGAAACCCTCAGGCACAACCCAAAATAGTCTAATACTCTATGCTGACTAATTAGGAAGGTTTACCGCATAGATGATGATGAAGCACTTAGTTTATTTATTTTAATAGTACGGGAAAACCTAAGTTACCTAACTATGCGGGTCTAATATAATCTCTCTCTCTCTCTCTCTCTCTCTCTCTCTCTCTATATATATATATATATATATCTCTCTCTCTCTCTGTGCATTTGTATTTGTGTAAAACTAAATGATGAAGTGAATGAAAACAATTTCAGAGAACTTTCAAGGTGGAAGTACAGACCTCTGGAGCCATCCACCTATATGTCCCAGTTTCTGCTGTCATTACTCCAGATTGAGATATCACTCTAGCAACCCCGAAATCAGCAACCTTAACGACCTGTAAAGTGATGCATATATCAGAAAAGGTTTAGAAATGGTAAGTTATTGATCTCTAAAAGTATTAGCAGCTAAACTAGACGCAGAATTACTTTGCTGACTTGATTAAAGTATCACGGGGGTCTCTTACTTCATTTTCATCCATCAAGAGATTGGCCGCTTTCAAATCCCTGTGGATTATGTTATTCTGATGCAAGTAGGTCATTCCCTTGGAAACATCGATTGCTACCTTGAGCAAGGATGGGAGCTTAAAAACACCCTTTTGTTTATGCAAGTAGTCATACACACTTCCACCAGACATATATTCTGTCATACGACGAAAATAAATCTTAAAAAAAGGAACTAATAACTACCATTATTTGAAATATCAAGGCATCAAGTAAGGTTTTAATGTACATTACCAAACAGCAATGATAAAGTCATTGTAATTTACCTGTTACAATGCACAAGCTTGGAGGCTTGGTACATGCACCAATGAATTGGACAACATTCTTGTGTCGAACTTTCCTACAAGTTTCAGAAATTTTTTGTCAAACTAGGAGAAAAAAAAACGTAGTGTAAAAAAATTATAGTAGATTTCAACCACTTCCTCGTTTTCTTGAACAAGAAAGAAAACCGTTCAGTAGCTAACAAACATTTAAAGGAACGTTACATAACAAACACAAACATTTGAAAGAACGTTGAGTTGAGGCGTCAAATCAAATTAACGTAAAATATTTAAAAGACCAACTGGGAATGCAGTCCTTATGATTCCTGACAAACCCCTATTCATGTCCCTTAAACATACCATCTTCACTTTTTTTAACTGCCATCACAAGAAAATGCTGATAAAAATGATTTCTCTTGGAAATTTACACTGGAATTTGCCAGCCTAGTATCTCCCTGGCGAGCCAAAGCCCTATATACAGCTCTCATGGCTATTGATTCTGGGCAAAGTCAGATTAAATAAAAATGGTGCACATGTAGGTTAATATAAATTGATATACCTCATAATATAAACTTCCTGGGCAAAATCTTTCTGCATATCAGAATTTACACACTCAGGCTTGAGGACTTTAATGGCGATTTCTTGGGTACAATATGTACCTTTATATCTGATAAAAGATCCACAGTCAGTCACCACTCAAAAGTGCATGCTTAGCTGGGAGGGAACAGAAAAAGGGAAAAACCGATTCGAACAGTACAAGTATCTTATACTTCAAAACTTACAAATCTCCACAAGACCCAGATGCAACTTTGTTCCCAAACTTCAACTGTCTAGGATCAATTTCCCATACATCAGTCCCATCATTAGGTATTTGCAGATGAACAGGTTCAGTTTTGATCACTACTTGATTATGCTCGCTGCCAGAAGATGATTGATGAGTAGGCGGCCATGGCCTCTGCACATAAACACAAAATTTCAAATGTAATGATGCATTCCTCATGAAATTGCATGTTGACCATGGGAAGGTAAAGGTTAAGGTATAAGGAAAAGATAAGGATGTGCACCTCAACTAACATAAAAATGAAAACAAAAACATTATACCCATGGGACATCACGCATTGTCACCCACCCTACTCAATCCAAAATGAAATTAACAAGTAGAAAAGAATCACCTCAATCTTTAAAACTTCCTTTTGTATTGCGATCTTAAGCTTCTCTGTTTCCTGTTTCAATACCAAGTCAGGCAACTTAGTTTCTCATTGTAAAGAAAATAAATATAAAAAAAATAAAAAACTGCTGTTGGGAGACTGGAAAAGCCTGATGTTATAATACTTCCTCGGTAAAACACTATTGAATCAAAATCATGTTTACCATCTTAAGCAAACGAATGCCTTAATAAAAACTGAGTATTCGAATTGAAATGTCTAAGAATTATGTGTATGTACCTCGTAAGGCCAGCCATCAACAACAAAGACATCCAGGGAGTAACCATCTAATGTGGAAAAAGCATGTGCTTCTTGGATGTTCAGCCCAATCTCCGCAAGCAAGGAAGTCAACTGCCAAATTTGTCATGAGAGAAATGACCATGAAAAATAAGAGGTACCCTAATATATGAGGATATAATGTTCACAGAAAAACTATGTATTTCATGTGCGTGACCCTCATATGGAGGCAACATCAAGTGAAAATATGTGAGTTTTATGTTTTTACAACAGTAACTTGCGACATTTCCTAGCTCAAAATGTGTTTATTGCCATAAGCTTAGCTCACACAAGTCCACACACACACACGAAGGTTCAAAAGATCCTATGAATATTACTTGGTTTTAATTTCATATAAGAAACTGGCAAATACCTGACTGAGTAGTTTAGGCTTGTCGTCTGTTGAGAAAGTAATTTCATGCAATATGGGCCTACATCATTGTCAATCAAAATAAAAACACATCACTATCCATCTGCAAGTGTAGTCACTTTACTTTAAAGAGACATTAGAAAGCATGAGAATATAGTTGATTTACCAGTGGTCAGGTTCTTTTAAAGTCTAAATTCTGAAATATGAAAATTAAAGTTTAGGCATAGATGAGTACACTTAATCTAGCTAGCATGGATGACTGTTAAAATGCAGTGCGTCAAGCCATCAATTAAGTCCATGGCTAACAACAAACTAGCCAATTTGCAACCAATTTGAAGGATAAATAATTCCTAGTGCCTTCCATAAACTAATTTTAAACTAGGAAAGTGAAAATATTGTAGTCAAAACTCATGAACAAAACTGAAACAACTTCAGAAGGAGAGGTGCAGTGAAAATATATTTACTAGAGACAAATAGCTATACCGAGTAAATTGAGTTCTGGCATGTACAGAATGTTCATCATCATGCTCTTCAGATTTATTTGCCTCAAGTGCAAGGGCTTCAAGGTTAGGAGATGAGCCGAATGCTGGAGGAGGATGTATACTGATACTCGAAAAGCCAGCTGGAGTTGTCAGTAATGTTTGAGAATGCAGTAGGATGACAGAAAAAAAAGAAGGTGAACAACTTTTATTCGCAGACTATATGCGTTAAATCTTTGGAGCTGCATTTGAAAATTTGGATACACTATAGGAAACTAAATAAGAGTACCTTAGTCTGCTAGATATGTTAGAACTTTGGGCAGCATCTTTACCCGGAGAATCTGTAGCATCTGCTGTATTCCCATCTGCAACAGAATGAACCTGCGTACAATATTGTGATTCCCAGAATGCACGAGGTCATGCAACAAATTTTAAGAATGAATGATAAAGGGGTATAAATTGCTATAAAATTATGAGGGAAGTTCCAGCAGAAGATGGGACTTAAGACTTTGTTTGAATTTTGATTTTTCAATTATTCATTGATCATTTGTTTTCTTAAAATTCTTTGGCTCTAGTGGCAGCAAATTTTCCGCCCTCCATGTAAAGAAAACTTGTAGCTCTTATAGAAATAACCTAGTTTCAACGGGCAGCTACTCGCATACCTATTCCGACTGGCCTTGTCTCTCACAACATGACCAAGTTATTAGGTGCGAAGTGCAAACTGCAAACTGCATTGAGAGTAACAATTAATGTGACCCTCAGCTTACAGATCTAATCTAACTTAACGATAACCACTATGAAACTAAGCTGCACGGGGTAGAACCCTTCATACGATTTCTCTAAGGGAAAAAAACATTCTTTGGGATAAAATTAAGGTTGTGGGACAACTCCTTAGCACAACACTAACTTCTTTGAATGTGACATGACAAACATTTACATATGTTAGGTATGCAGTCTCAAAGTGGGGCCAGATCCAAATTCAATTTCTAAACTTAATCAAGAAAAGATCGCAGAAAATCTGTGGTGACAATAACGATGCACCAGCCACAGAAATGATAAGATAAACAGGCTAGCAGTTAAGCATCAATGGCAACCACCAAATCTTATACATCAGAGGCAGCGGTGGGTCAGATATGTAGTCGATCATCTAACCTGTACAAGGCGGACTTCGATCGCTGGTCGATGAGCAGGATCATGAGCCAAATGCAGTAATCTCTTGTGCATAAGCACATCTTCTGCCCTCTCCACATTCACATCTAGTGCGTACCTGCAAATACGCGAGTACAACCAAATGCCTCAACTCATGAAAAAACCGTTTGTGATTCTACAAAACAGTAAACCGCGAGTACTGAAGCGAACTGAAGCGATTACAAGTAGAATAATTTGTTCGAGAATTGCTAAATCTGCTTTATTTACTACTGTTTGGCTCAATAGAAAATTACGCCATAACGTAACAGAAAACGAAAGGAAAATTTCCAGATACCAATTTCCATAACCAAGATTCAGAAACAAAAATTTCAAATAACATATTCAGAATCAACAAAAAATCTTAATAAAAATAATAATTAGAAATTAATTCTAGTGAGAGTAATATATATACATGCATGTATAATATAAATAAATAAATAATTCAAGGAAAATATGAGGATTAAAAGGTACCGAGTGGGGAGGCGATTGAAGTGAGCCCAAAGCTCGTCGTCGAAGCCAGGGCAAATGGCTTCGTCGTTTTTGGAGTCCTTGAGGCGGCGGAGGACCTCATTGTAAACCCCGAGCTTTCTCTGCTGGCGAGACTGAAGCGGAGAAGACGACGCGTCGTTCAGCGCTCTACTCCCGCAGCTCTCGCTGTTGTCCTCCATCACCATTGGCGGCGAACGCGACGGAATTAAGTAAACGGAGGAAGAAAAAATGGCGGAGAGAGAAGGTGAGAGAGAGGAGGATCGTCGGTTGGTTTGTTCGCTTTTTACGTGATACGACGAGCAGCTGGGCTTATATGCGCAGGATTTCAGAGCGAGGGTTCAAACTGAAAAATAAAAAAATAAAATAATAATAAGAGTAAATAAATAATAAATTACCACAAAATGGAAATTAGAAAGTGCGCACCATTGGCGGTGCGAATCATGCCGAGGTGTATCTCTTACCATATCGACGCATGCTGATCCGCTTGTTAATTCTGTTTATTTTATTCTTCGATAATAATAACTTAATTAATTAACATTAGCATTTGCCTATACATTTTATGTGTATGAACATATTTTTTTAGAAAATGAGAAGGAGAGAGGGGGAGAGGAAGAGAGAGAACGTGGGGGGAGTGAGAGATTTTTGTTTTTGGTTTTTTTATTTTTATTTTAAATATTAGAGATATTTTAACATCACCGGTAGGTGAGATTTCAATAAAAAAATAGTAAAATTTGGATTTGTGAAATTACATTATTGCCCATCATTTTTTTTTTGTGTGATAGAAGACTAAGTTGTATTTTCATCCTCTTTTGATTGACAAAGAGGGTTTCATTAATTAATAGAGATGGGCGAAAAATCCATCCACTCCAACCAGCATAACTTAGGGGTATATTCAATTGTGTTATGGGTATATATTCAATTGAAATTGAGAGCGCTTTTAATGAATTTATACATCCATAGATTTTAATGGAATTTAATTTAATTTTAGAAATTTTATGTAAATTTATTAGTGAATTCACTCAAATTCTCAAGAGGAAAATGTGAGATTTTATAATGCTTAAAATACATTGCGAAATTTCTTAAATTTCCTCGAATTCTCTAACTTTTAAAAATTCTTTAAATTCAATTTTTAAATAAATAAAGTTGGAATGTTATAAACATCTTAAATATTGGTTAAATAATCTAGATTCTCAGAAAATCACTTAAAATTTTAATTGAATACTCATGAATTTGTAAAAAGAACTAAATCTCTAAAAATCACAATTGAATACACCCTTCTTAATAACAAATTAGACTAGATTATGATTTGGATTCATTACATTACAAAAGTAATGATGAGATTGATAACTGGTGAAAGTTTTATTCATGGTATACTCAGTGTCTTATCTTTGCTTTTTATATTGACATTTCTTATCACAACGAAGTATTGTATGATATTTCATGTTGTATGGCTTGAACATGTATTTTTTTTTTATCGCGCTTTGCAAAATTGAATTAGTGATCCGACCACAAATTAATTTCGTAATACATTAGGGGTAGTGAATTGGCAATTCTCGTTTAAGCTATATGCACTCCAAACATCAATTTTTGACGTGTTAAAAGAAATCCGTCTTGATTGACGGTGTGATTAACTGTGGGGCATATGTCTAAATTTAATAAATTTCTATGAACCTGTGAGTTGTGACGCCAAAGCCACCTTTTCCTTTGCCAATTAGACGTCTCCGACTTCCCTCCCTCTCCACTCGCATTTCCTCACAATTACCAAAAGCAGACACAAAGTAGCATATTCTGAGGCGCCCACCGATTTGGATAAGCTCATGCCACAAAGACAATTCTACCCCTCACTCACTACTTACTTTTGTATTGGCGTCCCCTTGTGGGCTTGTACGATCAGCATCCCCCGCCAAGAGCTAGGGCCGAAGTTTTGGCTCCTAATTGTTTGGAGGAAGGGTGGACCACAAGACATGCACTAACGGGGTACAGATGTAATTTCAAGTTGAAAATTAGAATTTTTTTTTAACAAATGATATCATCGTAACTAAGAGAAAGGGTAGATTTAGCCTCACAATATGTTAGCAATAATGTGGTTCAAATTCGTCTTTCGCGAGAATCGAACATAAGACCTCTTATTTACAAGTGAAGAAAAATAGTACTAGACTGAAATACTAAATGGCATAAAGCAGTTGGGTTTAAACTTAAAAATTCATAAGAAAAACGTGAGGGGCAGAGGAATAAAGGTAAAAGGGTAAATTGAGAGATATCAGTTTGTTTTGCTCGTTGCTGTGTTGATGCGAGCTTCTGAGGTGGAGAATATTTGTTACATAGTCCAAAAAAAAAAAAAAAAAAAAAAGAAAGAAGGCGCAATTTTTATAAGGTGTAGAACTTGGATTCCATCTCTTACTTTATACTAGGAACCTAAGTCGCCATCTTCAATAATTTTCTTTGGGGATCATATTGCCACATGGCTTAACATGGGCTACTTGATCATACACATTGGACCACATTGGACCACCATTTCCGTCTCTATGTTATCTTTGACATAAAATTTATTGAAAACTTCTTAGTGCGAAATGTTTAAACATGTGACCTATAGAGCAATCTGTTGTGATTTGCCTAAAAGAGTGATGCATCTAGTCTACCAACCAAAGGTTGAGTTGTAATTGGTTGTGAGAATTTTAGATAGGATTTTTATCTGTGTGACATTTCTTATCTTCAACTTCTAATGTCCATAAATAGGGTGGATATTGGCCTATAATTCACACACCCAAAGTGGGCTACACTTGTCCAAGCAATTGCAAACCATGTGGATGACGCCGAAAGATGGTTTACCTTACACCAAGAGTGTAATACCCTGAAAATTTAAAGATATGAATTAGATAATATAATTATGAATATGTGGAGAAAATCGAAAATAAATCGATTTATGGTTATGAAAATAGAATTGGGAATTTTAAAGTTTTATTTATGGAAATTATTATAATTTACGTTGTAAATTTTATCGATACGTGGGAAAAGGAAAAAATGCCCTAGTGGTATAACGTAGATGTACAAGGACATATTTTATTCTCATACATCTTGTAGTATTTCTTAGCATAATTTGATAGAATTCGATTTTATGAGTGTGCAGGCGAAAACCGTTCGTCAAACGAAATTATAACGAATAAAATAGAAGCGAATGAAAGTAAGGGCAAAATAGTCATTTAACCATGATTTGGAAAATTCTGATTTTGGGGTGTTGTGGTGGAAATATGCCACGGGAGTGGCTGACAAAAAAGGAGGGAGGAAGTTGGTTGGGAAAGAAAAAAGGGGAAAAAGGGGAAGAGGAGGACAGAAGAAGGAGGCCCAAGGAAAATGAGAGAAAGGAGAGGAACAAAGGGAATTCACCCAGCCAAACCCGGTCATCCCATGACCTACGGCTCGATTTGGTGGAATTGATGATCTTCGACGCCGTTTTTAGGCAATTTCTCCAGTGATTAGAAGCCACACACCACCTGAAATTGACCTAGCATCCAATCCTCTCCCAATTTCATAAAATAAAAAATAAAAAAAATAAAAAAACCAAGTTAAGTGGGTTAATTTCGGGATAACCCACCACAGGTTTGCGGGGAGTACAACGGAAAATTCCATCATTTATGAAGGTTATCATGTCAACCACCACTACTAATAGACTTCCCTTAACCCCAGGAACAAAGCCCAAGCAATGGTTGGGACGTCGGAGCTTGTTTGAAGTCGAATCAAGAACACCCATTTCTAGGGTTTCCGGTGAGTTTGAGAGAAATTGGAGACTTTCCAAGCCAAATTGGACTTCGCCACATGTATAAAGTTTGCTCTACTCTTTGAGATCTTTATTTCTGTAATTTTTGAGAATTTTTAAAAATAGTTGAATCTTCCAGCGAGCTGGGGTGGTGGCATATGTGGTGGCGCATGGCCAGGGAGCCGACGTTGCCATTTTTCATATAAATTGTGATATTCTGAATCTATATTTGGTAACCATTTGATATGAATTGGATTATGAAGGTTAGTGTTGAATATGGTGGTTTCTAGATTACGTTTGGAAATTGGTAAATAATGAATTGTGAATTACGAATAGTTTGATCCTTGTTTAGGGTACGTAGACAGTCTAACGAGATGTTAGATGCAGCCATAAAACAAGTAAGATTAGATAATCAAGAATTAATTTCTGTTAAGAAGTTGAGTTATTAGAAGTAAATTTTGACTTAATAGAAAGCCTAGGCACATGCCTTATAAATTAATTATGTTTATGTTTATGTTTATTGAGAGGGAGTTAAGGAATTTAAATAAAGAATCGTGATTTAAAATTCTGTGAAATAAAGCAAAGTTTTTGGGCCATCACCAATATCATTTCCCGAAATTAATATTTTTGGGCTGGGGTGTGACAAAGAGGCATGCCAGAAAAATGTTGAGAGAGCTTTCGGTATTCTACAAGGTGGAAGATCATTAAGGAACCAACAAGAAGGTGGAGTCGAGAAAATTTGATCTCCATCATGATGTCTTGCATCATATTACACAACATGATTGTGGAGGATGAGCAAGATGGGTATATTGATGGAGAGTCTGATGACGACCAAGAGGATCCAAATAGGTCAAGAAGGGCTCGTGCAAAAATATATGATAGGCCTAATTTGCCTTTGAATCCAAGAACTGGTAATATCTCTTTAAATGAGTACATGAGGTGTCATAGGATGATACGCTAGTGTGCCACAAATAAGTACCTACAACAGGATCTTGTTGCATATCTTTGGGCCAAAAGAAGCATGGAGTAGGCGTTTAAGTTTTATGTTGTTAAATATTTTTTTAATGTTGTTTAAGTTTCATGCCGTTAAATTTTTTTTATTGTTGTTTAAGTTTTATGTTGTTTAATGTTACTTAATATTGTTTAATGTTGTTTAATGTTACTTAATGTTGTTTTAATGGCTTAGGTAGTAATAGGACAAAAAAAACAAAAAAAATCAAATTTAACGGCTAGTTAACGTCAGAAACTAGCAGTTGGGATTCAAAACGCTGGACCGGTCGAGGCTGGCTGGTTGGTTGGCTTACGGTAGCCGGTTGGCCTAATTCTCCCTTTGTGGCTCGGTGGGGCCCACGAGCCCTTTGGCCTAACCTTCGGTTGGAGACGATTTTCGTGTTATTTAGGGCTATTTAGGACCGGATTGGTTGGAGATGGCTTTAGGGTGCATATGGTTTTGTGAGGTTAGCCAAAGTTTAGAATTAATTAAAACTTAAACGTGTATAGACTATTAGCCAAAAAATTTTCAATGATCAGGGAACATGTTGTCACCACATATCGTAACTTTTACATAGGAAGGAAAGAAA